AATGAAATTCAAGCCCAGCAGCCTTCAGTAGCAGTTACACCTGCACCAAAAACATGCTTGTTCTCAAAAATACCAACATGTAACAAGAAATTCAACACACACAGCCCCTAGTCCCCAAATGTTGTCTCTGTACTTTTGATTGCTGCACCGGACTTAAGGGCTGACCCTCGGAGGGCTGTTCTTTATTAAAAGCAGTCATGTGCAACTCGGTGGTTTTAACTAGAAAGAGCAGCCATCCATCCTTTCCTTGCGTGAGGTGGTGAACACAAAAGGGCCTTGTGTTGTGGTGTCTGAAATTTGTTTCCGCACAAAACACGAATTCATTTCAGGGGTGAGGAACTACAGCAATCATCTTGGTCCTCGGGCCACGGGAAGGGGCAGGCGGGGAGGAGGAACCCGGGCCAGGTCAGGCAGCAGGACTCGTCATCCAGCGTGTGGGCAGGAGGAGGGAGGCAGGGAGGGGTTCACACGTTTGCTCTGCCCTAGGCCCCATGCACCTCAACACCAGCTCTGCCCAAGCTCCTCCGGTGGTTTCCTCTTGCCCGCACCTGCGCGACAGAGCTGGGGAGCCTGGCTGCTCGCCACCGCCTTGCCCTTCCTCCGAGCAAACAGTCAGGTCCCAATTATGCAAACACGCGGGTTGACTCACGGGTTGCTCACGTGCCCGAGTGGCTACAGGATGAGAGCCCACCGTTTCAACACTGGAAGTTTCAACGGAACAAAAGCGCATCTTATGTTGTACTGTGAGGTTTTTAATACCTGCAAAAGCCTTTCCCGCGGACCAGTAAGTTGATGCTTGCCACACAGCTCCCAGAATGGCACAGGAATCGTCTGCCAGAAGACGGGGCTGAGTCACAGAATTCACAGAGGGTATGTCTATACCATAGTCACACCGATGTGACTGCAATACAGTGTAAACATAGCTGGGCAAGCTTTAAATTAGCTACCCTGGGCACCAGTAGTAGCTTAGCCATTGAGCTCAGGCCAGCCTAACCACTCAGGTATTTACGCAGCTTTTTGGGCATGTTTTCCAGCCAGCTCCAAGTTCCACGCTGCCACAGCTGGATTGCTACCAGCTTCCCAGTTGGCTAGTTTAAAACCAGCTCAGGTATGTCTGTGCTGCAGTCACAGCACAGACTAAACTTCTAAAACATTTAAATTCCTACCATCTCAATTTCCACATTTCTAACAACTTGGAATTACAATGCTGGCCTGTATCGTCACTGTACTGCTGAGATTAAAAATTTGGGGTGCAATACATAAATACCATTTTAAGTGTGAAATGTATGGCTCTTCCAAGATGTGAACTGTGTTTAACAAAAATAATGAATGCTGCTAGCTATGTGACGACCTCTCATTCATTCATTCCAGAAGCCATTCAGTGAGCACCAGATCTACGAGGTGACTATCTGACCTGAAACTCTGCAGAACACAGTGAGTTTATACACAGATATCTAAATACCTCAAACATGTTCAGGCCTTACCCTGTATCTGTGGACTGAGGGAAAAGTCCACTGATTCCAGTGGACATTTTCCCTGTATAAATACCACTCACTGACTATATAGTACATTTTGTAACACAGAGCAGCCTGGAAGAAATGCCAGCTGAACACTTGCATTTCTTGACCAGCAGACTACTCCAACTCCACCCCATAACCTGAAGTTGAATTAAGGACTGCAAAAGTACACGAAATTCTTAACTACTTCTTTTAACTGATTTTTGGGAAGCAGAGTATGGCTTTTACCTTTAAAAGCCATAAATTTGTGTAAAATTTAAGTCACATTCATCACAGTGGCAATTTAGTGGATTGTAACAAGGGTTCATTTCATCATGGCTGGATTTGGTCCTTTAACAGACATCTATTATACCTTTTCATTACACATTTTAACACCGATTTGTTTGCACCAAAGATCCACATGCTCCCCTCCACCCACTCTACATATCACCTCCTGCCTGCTTGTACAAGAAAGCTCAATGTGCCAACACTCTCCCTAATGCTTGGGACTATGTGTCCTCCAGGCCCTGCCATGTCAAATGCTTTATCTCATGGCAAGGGCTCATGCCATGTGCTACAAACCGAAGGCCACCCAAGCAATATTCTTTATTCTTTCAATACCAAGGACTTGCGTACCACTTCTCTTCTGGTTTGGGAGAGAAGTCATTCAGTGTGTTGACATTTGAAATGCTGCGGGGATGATGGTCAGAGCAGGGATGGAGGAGGTGTTGTGCTGGGAGATGTTAAGGGCTGCCATCAGCCAGTCCTTTGATCTAGAAACACTTCCAGACCTGGTTAAAACTGCTGGGTCTGCTAACCAGATGGTAAGGACTCTCTGTGTTCCCAGCTTCTCCCTCCTGGTTTTTCTATTCCCATTAGTATCAGTGAGATTTTTCTCCCTTCAGAATGTGAACACCCCTTCAAATTTTTGAATTGTTAAAGTATGAAAACCATGCACAGGAAGGCAACCAAATGCTGACAGGTGTACAATCTTGCTTGGCACCGCAAAAGCATCATTCACAAGCCTCCCTCTCCTTGTTTGCCAATATAAATCCAAAGTGACTTCACAAGAAGACAGTAAAATTACACCGGATTAAAACAGGTTCATCTGAGGCCAGAACTAGATAATAGGTAGCAGGAAAACCCAGCAACTTTACCAGGAGCAGCATGCTAGCTACTACTAAATATTTTGGCATTTCTCATGATTTGACATCAAAACAGCTCTGCCTCTGACCTAAGGGTTCTAGCTAGCTGTGTAACCTCTGTTAGTTTTCAGAATAAAAGAATGCAAAACTGGGACATAACTACTTTTTCTTGAGCATGTTCATGCAAGAATACTACAGCAGCACCTTTTCACAGCCCTAATGAAATGTTTTGTGTCCATGTGTATGTTCTAACACAGCAATTTTGTTTATTTTATAGGCTTATAATAAAAATATGACACTTTATGAGCTACATGATAGTATTTCAACAATACCTTGTTGTGACATGATATGGTGTAATTACTTAGCAGGAGATACTACAGTTTATTGTTATGTCATTGAGTCATACCCTTCAGGGCTTCAGGCTGGTGTCTTAGTTTGCTTTTTAAAGCTATATGGACTAGCAAGCTAAGTCAAGGGATGTATAAAAACAACCTAGAAACTAAGGCATAGACCGAACATGCGCCTGCACACAGCAGTGTGCTTGAAAAGACTTCCCCAATCCTTTCTGCTTCCCTCTTTGTTTTGCTTTTACAGCATTATTGACTGGGTTAATAATAACCAAAGAGAACAGAAATTTCAACCCAAACGTGCAAAAAACCGGTATGTTACATTAGGATCCTATTCAGGCAGTTAATACAGAGACTGATCCTAAAGAGCGGGAGATGCTCAGCATGAACCACTGACTTTACCCACGAGAGGAAGCATGCCATTGGAGTCCCTCTCCATCCACAAGAACCACCGCTGGCGTTTCATCTGCCCACACAGTTTGCACTGCAGGATACGGCCTTGCCATGCACAGCATTCGCCTCTTCCTTGGCTTCATTTTAAGGTACTATACATCAATCAGGAGAGGATGTAATTTTATATAGCACACTGTAACAAATGTAAGCACAATCCAGGGAATTAGTGGCTGCACCTTTCCCTAACTAATGGAGTTGAGACAGTAGGCCACGATCTACTTAAAAAAAAAAAAAAAAAAAAAAAAAGCCCTGCTCCGGGTGAAGTCCTTTGGTCTGTCCTTGGGCATGGAGATAAGCGGCTCCCGTTTAACGGGAGATACGTGCAGGGAACCCCGCTGGAAACTCCCGCCTCACGCAGCAAGCGGCAATCTTGGGGCAAGTTCAGCCTCCCCGCCGCCGCGGCGGGTCCCGGTGCCCCGGTGCCCCGGGGCAGGGCCGGGCCGGGCCGGGCCTCCGCAGCCCCCGGGCAGGGCGGCAGCCGCGGCCCCGCTCCTGCCCCTCCAGCGGCGAGACGAGCCCGGAGAGGCTGGGACGGACACACAACCCCCCCGCAGACACACACCCCTGCCCCGGGCCGGTGCCAGCCGCGGGGCCGGGCAGGCAGCGGCGGCACTGGGGTAGCCGGCCCGCCCCGGGGAGACCGGGCTGAGGGGAGCGGGCAGCGCTTCCCCCCGCCTGCCCCTGTCGCTCCCGCGCGGAGCCTCTCCCCGGCGGGAGGCGGGAGCGCACCCAGGCGCGACGGGCTGAGCGCAGCCATAAAAAAAAAAAAAAAAAAAAAAAAAAAAAAAAAAAAAAAAGGATAAAAAGAGGCAAAACACCACCCCAGCAAGGGCCTCAGGCAGCCGTCAGTCCCGGCGGCCGGGGCGGGCGAGCCGCCAAGCCGGGGCGGAGGCGGGCCGACACCCCTGCCCCACGCCCGCCGCGCTCCGGCCGCCTGCCCGCACCGCGGCCAGCGCCGCCGGGCCTCGCCTCGGCCCGGCCCGGCCCGGCCCCGCCACCGCCCCGGCGCGACGGGGCGCGGTGCGGGCAGCCCCGCGGCGGCAGGGCCGGGGGATCCGCCGCCCGGCTCTGCGCCGCCCCCCCCCTTTCCCAGCCCCCGCCGGCGAAGCCAGCTCGGCGGCAGCGCCCCAGAGCGAGCACCTCCCTTCCTTCCCCCCGGGCGCTGGGTGTTGCTGTTATTTTGCTGCCGCCGCCGCAGGTCGGCCGGGGTGGGCGCGGAGGGAGGGGAAGGGGTGCGCTGCGAGGCCGGGTGCCAGGCGCACGCCTCTGCCTGACACACGGGCGGGGAGGAGGAGCTGGCCGGGCAGGTTTGTCAGCGGGGCGGCGGCGGCCCCGCTCCCCTCCCCGGGCTGCTGGGGATAATTAGTGTCTGTGCGAGTCTGTCTGCCCCCGGGAGGCAGGGCGGGCGGCGCGGAGTCAGTGCGTGCCCGGCTGTTTGTGCGCGGTGACTCGCCCCGGCCCCCCCCCCCCCCCCCCTCGGCGGAGCCTCCACCCCGCGGGCGGGGAACCGCCCGGCCCGCCCGGCCGCGCTCCCCGCCGTGACCCTCCCACCGCCGCTCACCCCGCCGGCCAGGGGAGCCGGGCAGGGCGAGCGGCGCCGGCGTCATGTGACAGCGCGGCCCGGTGCCAGGAGCCCCGGGGGGGAAGGCGGGCGGAGGGCGGGAGGCAGGGCGGCGGGCGGGCAGCTCCTCCTCGCACACAGACCCGGAGCCGCCTCAGCCGCGGGGACGCGGGACACGCCGGTCCTCGCGCCTCGGTGACGCCGCAGCCCCCGCCACCCAGCGCGACCCCCGGCACTGCGGGAGCCGAACGGAGGCCCGGCGCCCTCCGCACCGCCCGCCGACCGTAAGTGTGAGGGCGGGGGGGGTGGGCTCTGCCGGCTGCGGGATGGAGCTGCCGGAGGAGGAGGAAAGTTTCCAGGCGCTGCGAGCGGCGCGGAGCCCGGGGCGGCGGGCGGCGGTGTGTGTGTGTGTGTGGGGGGGTGTGCGTGCCTCCGGCAACCGGGGGGGCGGCGGGGCCGGGGGTCTTCGTAGGTCCGCGGCTGCGGGGAGGGGGAAGCGGGACTCGTCCCGGGGCTCACAGCGGGGCTCCCCCCGCGGCGCCTGTGAAACTTCCTGCGTGGCCGCCGGCGCGGTGAGGGGGGGCGGGGGAGGGAGCTGCCGCTCGCCGTCGCGGCCGCCCGGGCGGGCAGCGCACCTGTGTGGCCGCCGGGGCCGCCTCCCCCGCCAGCCGCGCTGCCCGGCGGGGGGGGCCCGGGGCCTCCCGCCCGCCCCGAGGGCCGCCCTCCCGCCGAGCTGGGCCGCAACGAACAGGCTCGTCGCCTTCGGTTAGAGAGTGAAGAAGCGTCGTCGGTTCCCGCACGGGGTGCGGTGCCGGACGAAACGGAGGTGGAAAGCACAGCGGGCGCCCTGGGGTCCGAGGGCGGCGGGGGGCAGGCCCGGGCAGGAGCTCGCCTCTTGCCGGTGTCCCACCACAGCGCAGAGCTGATCGGCAGCGCCGTGTCCCCCAGCTTAACTCCCGGGGAAGTCGAGGGCGAGACCGGCTCTCGTTACGACCGTAATTAGCTTCCCTTTTCTGGATGCCGTTTGTCGAGGTTTTTTTAAACCCGAAATGGGAATAGGAGTTACTCGCTTTGGACCTGTGTCAGGTGAGTGCCTGGCACAGCCGGGGGAAGAGGGAGGTTCAGCGACAGGAGCCCACACTGCGAGATCACAGCACCAAACCAGAGGTTGGGAGAAAGACCCGTCTCGGCATAGCTCAAGTGGTCATTCAAGAGTTACATGAAAAAAATGCATTAAAATTTCTTTGTGTACTCCCCTGATGATTCGGGTACTGTACCTGCACCGTCTGCTGTGTTTTATTTGCTTCCTCGCCTTTGAAAATTCAGGAAGTGTCACTGTTTGTGGAGCTGAAGTCTGAAGGTTTTATTGTTGGGAAAAGCTGAATTTGGGTGGCTGATGGGAAAGCTCTGAAGACTTGACTTTATTTAAACTAACATATATAAATGTTTAGCACCGGTATTGAAAAGAGAAGATTACATGGCTGCTCAGTAGTGACTTTTCCATAGAATACTTCTAAGATACACTGTCCTGATAATACCATGAGGAGCTGCTTCTTGTGTGAGAGGAATTACATCTGGATTTGATAATCCTGCCTTCAAACTAACTTTCCTCTTGTATTTTTAAGAATACTTTGTCTACTATCAAAATACAAAAAACCTGACGCTGACTTGAGTGGCCTTTTTTATTTTTTCCCAAGCAGGCAAATACTTTTTTTTTTTCCCCTCTGCGCACACTAGTATAGATGTGTTGTAGACCACAAGAGAGACTGGGGGTAAGGGCAGGGAGAGAAGAAAAACCAGAAAAAGATACTAAATGGTCTCTCTCCTGAGAAAATGAGCAAAATTTCCTCTAAGTAGCAGAACTGCAAGGGAGCCCTTAGGTATTGTGAGGATTTGACCTAGGCAACACCTGTTTAGCCAAAAGCAAAAGTCTTCAGATAAATAGTGATGTAAATGTGAGTGAGATTAGTCAAAGGAGCAGGGATAATAGAGATGGGAGTTAGACCACTACCAAATTATTTATATTTCCAGATATTCAGTATGAAGAAAGTAAGGAACTGATACTATCGGCATAAAAGCTACACCCACGCATTGCTGTGTGGCTGCTGTACTACCTGGTTGTCACCTCGTGTGCGCTGTCAAACTCCAGCCATGAAACCCCACAGCAATTATTATTGTTACTGTGGTAGTTGTCCACATAATTTGCTGTAACATATTCTCACATTGGATAATATTAGATGGCCCACCCATGGTTTATAAATAACCGATGCAAAGTATGTAAGAGAAGAGAGATTATTTGAAACCAGGGCTTTGAAGGAAAACGAACGTTGAAGTTAGTGTATTGCTTGACACCTAGACAAGATGTGCCTTTCTTCTGCCTCATGTCAGCTTATTTCATTTATTCGGCTGTATATTTGGGTGCTTCAAAAATAAAAGTATTATAGCCATGGAAAATCAGATCCTGAGGTGGAAGACTGAGTGCATATGAAACAGGGATGACAAGGGCTAAGCATTTGATAGCTTAGAAAAATAGTCTTGGGTGCACTGAGTGAAGTTGGTCCTCAGCTATTGAGCAGTACTGAACAAAAGTGAGACACTGTCCGGGAGCAACCCCTAGCTTTACAAATCATTCCTGCAATGGTCTGATCCCCCTAGCTCTGTCTGTGAAAAAGGTGCTTACTGTCAGGCTGGGCACTGCCTGTTTGATGTCATGAAGCTGTAGCTCTGTTTAGCTACTGGCATTCTGTAAATACAGTAATAAACCAACTGGTCCTAGGGAAGGTTTCAACAAATCGTTATGACCTGTGGTGTCTAAAAATCTACTCCCTTATGTTAAGGGAGCCTGTTTGTAAATAGGGCAGGTCCCCTGCATAAGGACAGTGTTTTTATTCACACCCAATGAACAAACACCTCCACCCACTGTTGTTGTTTTAAAAGACTCCAGCTGCTCATGAATATGGGGTCAGGGAGGGCCGCCTAAATGTTTCTCTGTGCTTTCTCCCCAGCGCAGCCAGCAGAGCTGTTTCCTGTTCTTTGTTTCAAGGCTGGGGTTTGCGTCACACATTCCAAGTGGCATATGTGGTGCTCTTTCCTGTTTCAGGCTGTTTTCTGGCAGATCGGTAGCCTCGTCCAGGCCCCTTGTCACTGCCCCTCAACTCCCAATCCCCACCCAATGAGTTATCATGTCTCTACACACTCATGATTGCTTAAGATGCCTGTGTTATGTCATAATGAGGTTTCCAAGTTAACCTTTAACGCACGCCCTCGACTCCAATATAGTTACGGGGGTGGAGAGCTTCAGTCCCTTCGCTGAAAACTTTTACTCGGAGTCTCCAAAAAGTTGTGAGCCAGTTTCTGCTCTCGCTTGCTCATCAGCCGATCTGGACTAGATCTATTAAAGTCATGGAGTTACACTGGTGTAAAAAGAGTGTGAGAAGAGAATCCACATCTGTAGGCTCATACTTTTTAAGAGAGGGTTTTGGCTTCTGGCCCTGCCCAACCTGAATGGCCCACCATAAGCACTTTGTGTTTCTGGATCTCAAAAGGAAAACATTTTCTCTTTATACAAACGAGAAGATGCACTGTCTTCCAGATGTAATACAGAAAATGAGACATTGCTGGCTAGCTTTTCTTTGGAATAAATAGGTATGGCTGTCCCGCATTTTGCATTTTTGAAGACATAAAAATAAATTTTTTATTCTCTCTATATTTGTCTTCTCCCCCCCACCCTGTTTCAGGCAGACATATAGAAACATCGAGAGGAAATTCAGAAAGAGAACATAAATCTTTGTGTTGTTTTGGATCTGACAGAAGAAGAGCTAAAGGACCCAAGCCAAAGCTCATTGAAATGAAGAGAAAGACTTGCATTAACTTCAGTGGGCTTTGAATCAGGCTCTGGATGAAAATGCAAGATGGAGTGTTATTCTTCTCTGTCACTTATGGGCTGGCATATGCATGGTTTCTGTACACCAGAAATACTTCCACCCTTTCATTTTATCCCTTTTTTTATTTCACTCATTTTTAAAGTAATGTTTTAGTTCTTGCTGTTGCTCTTTTCGATGCTAAAAGTTTGCTGTTTGTGATCACTGCAGGTATCTTTTAGGAAGTATCCGAAATACATGCTTTAAACTTCCCCTTTCAGGGCTTAATTGTATGTGAAAAAATAATTTTTACTGAATTATGTGCACATCCTTACATCAACTTGTTTTTTGTCTGTTCAGAAATCCAGATAACAAGAAGTTTTTGGCCACACAGTTTTGGTAAGTTGTTTATTGATCATTTTCGTTTGCTACTCTCAGTTGTGTTTACTTAGTTATTTTTCTGTTAATTTTAGGATACCATTGATGAGTTTATCCATTAGAGCCCAATTAAATATCTTAATCCTGGTGCTGTTAATTTGCACAGGATTTCAAACATATTTAATATTTTTTCCTATGACAGAGGAAAAGTGTTGCATTTAACTGCATTTAATATTGGAAACTGGTGTATAATAAATGCAGTCAGTTTTGCGGTTCACATCCTTTTGTAGCCAGAAGTTCTACAAAATCAGAGACTGAGATTAAAATTATAATAGTTTTGTAAACCAACTTTTTAATATTAATTAACACTGCTAACAGGAGGTCTTTTAGAGTTCTTTTATGCTGTCAGCATTGGATCTTTGTGTTTTCATTCTGAGGCTAGTTGCTTCCAATCCAGAATATGAAGTTTGGCAGAGCTGGTTTTAGGAGAGATTTAACCCTTCCCTGTTAAGCATTCACTTGATGCTGAGTCTTCCTTTGAGGGTTTTATAGCCACAGTTGATATCTCCCAGGGGAAGGAAGTGTAAGTGTAGATCAGCCAAATGGAAAGATAAAGCTCTAACAGGTTTTTAATAGTAAACTAAGTCAGAATGGAAAAAAAAACAAACGCGTGGTCTGCCTATCATGCAGTCAGTGTGTGTTACCAACAAACTAACTTAATCCATGAAGGCATGACAGACTTTCCACTTTTAAAGAGTCTAAGCTTCTTTGATCACTGTCTCATTTGTATCCACTACACTATCCATCTCTTTTCCCTGTTTTTTTTTTCTTCCCACTTCCATAGGTACATAGAAGTTCATCGACATTTGTCCTGTATTCAAATCCTGGTTCAATTTAATCATTTAGGCTATTACTCATAAATTCACACTTTCTTTAGGATTAGAGTTCTTTCTTCTTCCCCATGCTATCAAAAATGTTGAATCTCTGTTTCATGAAATAGCAGAACTCTTTATGTAAGAGAACAGTATTTTCTTTCATTCTTCCATTGTAATAATAAGACAGGATTTCTATTCCTCCTTTTAAATTATCTTCAAAATTAACCTCTTAGGAAAGACGCAACAAAAAAAAAAAAAACAAAGTTCAGTTTGGGAGGGAAAGATTATCATGCCATTCCACATACTTCAGTTGTTTTCAAAAGTCTGATCTTTTATCCTTACTAGACTGTTTCTCCTTCTAAGAAGTAGCTTGAGACAGGAAACCAGACAGCAGTCTGCCCTGATAAGGGCAAATATTGTCTCATGGAGGTGCCTCAAGAGCTTTTCTTTCTCTCTCCCTTAGGTTCAGTAAATGTAGAACTGAAGATTGAACAGGGTTTACAGGGGCTCCATTTTTCCGTGGTAGAGGAGACATTTTCTTAATCACTGCAAGAACATTTTTGCCCAAAATTTTTACATATAGGAAAGCCATTTCCAGGTAAGTGGCTTCAAAGAGCCTGCATCAATATTATCGTAAATTTAATGAAAATACTGCTTTGTCTACTACACAGCTTATGAATTACTATGTCAAAGTGGTTCTAGGTCAGAGTGACGTCAACAAAGTTACAATGCACAAGTTGTGCAAAACAGATTTTTCAGCCTCTTTGTGGTTCTGAAAGGAGGAAGGTAAAAGATTTTCAAGTTAATAAAAAGTAACAATAGTCTGAAATACTAAATAACAGAATGCTATAGGAATACTATTTTTCTTCGTGCCTATCAAGTAAAACTTTCATCAGAAGAGTTTTGCCCGGGTACCATTTTCTTTTTATACAATATCCTAACTTTCTCAACAGTTACTACTATTTCCCTGTGGAAATCCAGTGAATAAACAAACACAGAAGGCTGCCAATCAGTGAAATGTTTTCTTGTTGTACTAGTTCTCCATGATTCTGCCCCTGCTCTGTCCTTCATGGGCTGGCTGCTCTGGTCCCTTCCCCCAGCACCACGCCTGGGCCTTTGCTCTTTCCCCTGCTCTTGCTTTGACTGAGTCTGACTGCTGTGCTGAGCTGCAGAGTTTCTTTGCCTGCTGCTATTTTGGGGCCCAGTGCAGTTTAATTGCTTGCTTACTTCCCATTAAAGTTAATGGAACTTTAGAAACTCCATTGTGCTGACTCAGGTCTTGATGAGCAACTGGTACAGTAAGTGCAAACACATCTTGATACTGGCCCTGGAGACCACTTTTTCTACCTTTTCCAGGGAATCTTCCTCTCAGAAACTGGTTTTTCTCCATCAAACACCTTCAGGCTTCCACTGAAGAAGACTTCTCACCCAGGTTCAGAACACCTCCCCACAGTTTGGATTTCATCAGTGGAGAGTCTTCCTGATACTATAACTTCTCCTTAGTTTCAGGGGAAGTTTGGCTGGAGGCTCACAGAAGTAATAGTTTCAGAGCAGCAGCCTAAGTCCCAGAGGGCTTGGACTGAAGAGCTTTGGCCACATGACTTACGTTGGCTGCTAGAGACCAACAGTGCTGCAAGAGCTGCAGTGTCTTTGCAGAGGGCTCCCATGCAGTGCTAATTTACCAGATATCTTTACATTATTCTGTAATTATACCAACAATAACAATCATACCTTGAAGCTTCTAGACAAAACCTCACTGTACCACAGGGCAGCATTCATTGCTTCCCCTAGGCACAAAGATTGAGAAAGCAAACCCTGTGCATACTTTCATGCAGGGTGAAGAGAGACAGAATTTATGGTCACCACCCCCCTGTGACTGCTCTTCCAAGTACTTAATGAGAGCAAAGGCTCTATGTTAGAAGGAGGCTTTGTAGTTGTTGGTTGTGCACAGTCAAAACTGGCCCTCCACCCCACCATTTCCTTTCGTAACAGGTCTACAGATTTGGTGGACCTTGAATGTAGATGTGCAGAGCTGCTGGGAGTAGCTGCTCTTCTCCAGCTGCTCTGCAGTGCAGATGTGTAGTCCGGGTGCGTTCTTTAACCGCTTTGCTTGTTTCATCCAGGGTAAATAATCTGTACAAGTCTTTATTGTCAGCATACACGTTAAGTACCTTTAAGCTTGCATTGACTGTTAATTATGTCTCTGAAACAGTAAACCATACCTGTCAGGAAGTTAATATTGAGAAGTGTTCAACCCTGACAGGGCAATGAGCTCTACCGATGGTGAACTCCCCTTCTGGAAGGGATACTTTGCTGTATATCGAATCATAAGGGCAGAGTTTGTGGGTTTTTCTGGCTTGCTGTCTTCACTGGACTTCAGATAGGAAAATACTGAGGGACTTTACCTGGACTTTACCTTGCACCTGTCCTTATTTGCATACAAAAACCAATTGCTTCATTTGACTTTCTGAAGTACAGGGTGTGAGCAAAATCTTATCAAAGCCATGTCCTGTTTGGACAAGTTGGACTGACTTGGCAGGGATCCACAGGGTGGAGTGAATGGGAGGAGGCAAGAAAGTAAAACTGGGTGGCTTGTTAGCAGAAAAAAGAGGGAGAGCAAAAAAAAAAGAAGAGGGTGGAATGTTTGCCTACTGGATTGGAGTTAATTATTTAGTTTCAGATTACATGCATTTTAAATTCTTTTAACCCACATGAAAAAAACCTTTTAATGCAAAATAGTTTATCTAATAATGTGAAAGACAAAGGCCCTTATTTTTTAATACACTTAATATAAATACATTGTTGTCTCCTCACTGTTTTTTCCAGGGTACCTCAGGAATTACAGACAGTATTTTGATTTTCCAGAAATCAGTTGTATTTACTAAACAATTTGTGGGTTTTCAAGCAAGTACATTATGAAATCAGTGTGTAAAGTAGAACCCAACTGTTTTTTCATTCCTCTGTAATAGAAACAGATAAGACTGTTTACCTTCCCTATTACCCCTTCTCAAATGTTTAGCAGAGAGAGATTGGGAGTTTTTGCGTTAGTAGGCATGATTTTACAAATAGAGTAGGAAAAACTACTGACTTCTTAGTAGAAGTAGCATGCTTTATTTGTGTGTGAGTGTGCATGCATGTATTTGCTTGTAAATGTGGTCCAGGCAATCAATTTGGACCATTATTTTTAAATGCAAAGAGGATTGTTGTGTGAGTTTATTTGCAGCCTTAGGAAAGTGTCCTTTTGAGCTAAATTTTAAATGCCAGACCCAAAGCTGGTTTATATTGACTGTAGCAGCTCTGTCCGTTTCCACCACATAAGAACTTGACCCTCTGATCTGGACCAACAGGACCAAGCATTATGTATTTTCCTTTCTTGAAAGTTGGTTTCCAGTCACTATCAAATGGGGAAAAGAAGCTTACGGCTTAAGAGGAACATGTGATAAAGTGCTCAATTTCTGTACTGTGATACAGCAATAAGTAACATTTTCCTCTGCTGTTCTTAGATGACTGCACCTGAGAGAGACTGAGAATTACTTTTCACTTTTACTCAGTGCAGTATACTTTCTGTTGTCTTTGTCAGCCTAATTCCTATACAGTAATTTAGAGCCCTCTCAGGAAACACTCGACTATGTAGCATGACATGTGAAAATGTGTATCAAGTGTCTTTCATGCACTTTCTTGGAGTAAAAGTTGAAAAGGAGTAACTGTTAAACTGAAAAAAATCCAATCTTAAAACAACAAAAATGACAAAAAGAATAGTTGCGAGCAGGACTGCTTACTTAGAACAAACTCTCTCCTTTCTTTCCCTCCTTTCCTTTTATTTCCTAATTTCCTTTCTTTTCCTTTCTTTTCCTTTCTTTTCCTTTCTTTTCCTTTCTTTTCTTTTCCTTTCTTTTCCTTTCTTTTCCTTCCTTTTCATTCTCTCTTTCACTAAAGTACAAATTGGTGTATCACTTCATCTATGCACATATAAACTGAAAATTGAAAGTTACTGAAAACCTGAAAACAAGTAGTTCCAGGTTCTTATATATGATGTCGTAGAGGCTACATTTTATTGTAAACATTTTTTATTTTAAAAAGTATAACTTTTTAATCTGTTTTCGTAATGCATATACGTGTGGAAATGTATGTGAGTGATGCACAGATACACACACATATATATGTGGATATATTTCTGGGAAGATAGTCTTCTGAAACATTAGTCCTAGCTATGTAAAATGTTAAAAATCTGAAAAAGATAACCACTCAAATAAGAATAGTATAATTAATAACCTCACAAACGTACTTAAAGTATTTCCAAAATTATCACAACTTTTAGCAAATAGTGCCATTTTACACGACTGCTTCTGAAATAAAACTACATGTTAAGTTTAGACTGGAAGTTACATCGAACTATTCTAGATGTTTCACTTTGTTTTGCAATTTGGTTTTGTCAGGCCTTTGACTTTTGTAAGAAGAATTGTGAAGATACTTTAATTACTTTTGATACTTGTTTGTTTTCATTATTCAAAATGTACACTGTTGTAAATTATTCCCATAAGTCTTTAAACTTTATTCATATACCTGAATAATTAATGTTAGACTTGCAACAACTCATGTCATCTTTCTCTGGAAGGTCTTAACAAATTTTTATCTGTAAACACACATGATAGTTAACTGCAAGAGTCTATATTAGTGTAGGCTTATTAGAATTGTTTTAATTTGAGCAGGTACATCTTAAAATTTTCTTCTAAATTTCTGGGAGAATTTTCCAGCCACAACTACAAATCTGTTGTTGAGCCTTTAGCTGACTTCGGCAGGGTTTAATTGCCTGGATGATGTAGCCTGGCTGTATTTGTTTCTTTCCAGTGCCATCTACTGGTCAAAATTGAATTCGTGTAAATTTTTTTTGTCCTCACATCTTAATAGAGGTTGTACCACTTCCAGGCAGGGCTGTGAACTGTACAGTGTATGGTCAGAACTTGCTCCTTCAACATCAGTCATACAATGTATAACCTCAAGTGATTTATAAAAATCTTGCCAACATCTAAATGTGATTGAGAACGACTTTCCTTTGCTTCTCTTGGTTTTTACACTGTACCCTTATTGCTTCACCCAGAAAAGGTATCTCCTCCTTTCCTTCACAGCATCTTTCCAAGTTGACCATGGCAAATGTGTGCTAAATACTTTCATTTCAGGCAGTTTGAGATAAGCTATAATTGAACAAGTGAGGTTGGACGCTCTGTAGAAAAAACAACCGAAGCTACATGGAATACTACCAGATTTTTGGAAGTGCTTTTCTTTTGCAGTTAGCACAAATTGTTGGAATGTCAGTAAATCTATCATCTCAGGGAAATAACAGATTTTTTTTTGTTGTTGTTTGTTTTAGTTTTAAGTTACTGGAGCATGTTGAATGTACCTCTCTAAATTTGTCCTAGATTTTAATCTTTCTTTTGTGTTCATTTCAATGTCACTGTACATGAAAATTTCAACTTTTCCATTAGGACTCTTAGAAAAGAGATATCATCTTCAGAATCAGTTCGCTTATATAAACAAGATCATTCTGAAGTTGGCATAGTCTAACCTGTGATGTGTTTACACAGTGACAGCTAATAAAAGTGACAAATCTGTGATCTTGGTATGCTCACATGAACAATACAAATTAACTTTCATTAAAGTGAGCAGATGTCCCTTTGTTTCAACAGCAATTGGGAAAGAATAAACTTACAATAAGTGAAATATTTAAATGTAACCCAGTCAAATGTTTAAGAAGCTGTGTTAGAGCTGCATAAATATTCACATTAATCTGGTGAACTAGTAAGTTCTCTACAATTCAGAAAGTTGATAAAGGGGATTTCCTGTGTCTTTCTTAACACCTCGTCTTTCCCCTGCAGGCCACATCAGAGGCATCAGAACAGCTGAATAAAAAAGATGCTAATGTTTGACCCAGTCCCTATCAAGCAAGAAGCCATGGAGCCTGTTTCAGTGGTAAGACTTCTAAAATATATTAGCCTTTGTGATGACTCTGTAGTTTTTTCACCTTTAAATTCATACTGAGATTTTGCTAAACTTTGGACTAGCTTAGGAAAGGCTGTGAAGCTATATTTTGCTCTTACGGCAATCAAATTCACATTGTATGAAAATTTTTTCTGTAGTTTATGAATTGATTGCCCTTAAGTGACCTACCCCGTTACCTCTGCTGGTGCTCCCATCCCTAGAGCAGAGGAGAGAGCATCCAAGAGTTTCTCAGCCGGTGCAGTGCAAATAGGATCTCTGTAGCTCATGCTGCTGTTGGATGTGGATTGAAATTAAGTTGCCAGACTTCACAGTGGAGTGGCAAGAGCCTGTGGCTTCGATGTTACACCTTTGAACCAAATGAACAGCTACTCACTGTCCCATTGTTCTGTTTCTCTCTTGATCTTGACAACATGTGCCTGGGGCTAACTACGCTCCGAACAGCAGAAAATTAATCCTGACCAAAAAAAAAAAAACAACTATTTTTTTTGCTGGATAAGCTGGGTGTATTACCTGGCCATGTGAACAGATGAGAACCGGGACAGTGGAGGAGGAATGGGGAAGAAAGGGGAAGGAAAGACCTGTTTCAGTTGGGTTAATTTTCCATCAACTTGGTGTGTAGGGTCATCAGAGAAGAGTCTGATAAGCAAGAGCAGCAGGAACATGTGGCTGGGAGAGGCACAGTGGGAATTGTGACAATTTAGGCTGACAGGGAAATATGGCCTTAGGAAGCAGTTTCATGTATACTTCCCCTATCCAACTGCAGGCTGCCGCTGAAAGGGAAGGTTCAGACTTTCCTCCCTCCTTTCCAGTTTTGTTTCTCCTTTGCATGACATGAAGGAATTCTGTGGCCACAGAGTGACTTGGATCCATTGGATCAGCTTATTGAACGGTCAGAATTGCTAACCCACCAAAAATACCCTTATTTTTTGGTCGGATCAGGAAGGTGTATCTCACTCATTCTGTGCAGCCTCTTAATGCTGGAGGAAGGGGAGAGGGGAAGACAACTGAACGGGCCCTCCCCTTTCAGCAGTAGCCTGCAATAAAATCAGATTAAGTGTAACATGAAACCACACCCCTAGAAGGGCTGATCAGTTAAAAGGGTGTAGTCAGTGTGCATAGAGTACATTAAACTCATGCTCTGAGTGGCATCTTTCAATCAAAAGTGTGCTGTTTTATTTAAAATGTAGAATAATTGTCATCAATTTAAATGCATCTATAAGGAGTCTGATTTCTTCAGTGCTGTTAATAACACTTTTTGAGAGTTAAGTTTATATGCATTTTAAAATTACAGTTGGACTTTCATGAGGTTTATTAACTTCAGAGAAATGATAGAAAAGTAACTGATCTATCACTGAGAGTGTAAGTATGACAAATTCCAATATTTGGTCAAGAAGGAACCTTAGTATTGGCCAGTCTGCCTGTCACTTCAATCACAATTACTGCATAACCTTATTAAGATTAGTGGTGATTATCTATGATCACCTAAGGATATCTAATGGTGTCCTTCCCAGGCAGAAAATGGGCCACTTTTACAATAAAAGCATCATTACACAAATAACAGAAAGTCACGATAGAGACACTGGGCTGCCTTTTGTACACATCTGCCTTCATCTCCCAAAGAAGGTTCTGCAGTGGCTTGAGAGACACAAGATCCTGCCCCAGGCAGCTGTGTGCTTCTGCAAGATGGACAGGGTTGGCCCCTCAGCAAACAGACCAGGAAAGGAGTGAGCAGTCTTACCCTGACCAGCAGATGAAGGAAAAACTGCAGGGGGAAGAACAAGGGAGCATTTCTGAGCCAAGTGCATTTTCAGACTGTAGTTCCAAATGTTGCTTATTCTATACCACGTGCTCCTTGCAGATATATGGTACCCTCCATGCGGGAGTCATCTTGGGTGTTCTTATAACTCAGTGTCATCACTCTGACCAGCCGTTAGAGACTATTCAGAGCATTTTACCAAATCTGTATGCTTTCCTTTTCGTTATTGCATAATGCAAAAAAAAAAAAAAAAAAAAAAAAAAGAGGCAGGAAAAGAACAACAGGAAGTCCAGAGGAAAGGACATTTTTTGAGTAAGGTTCCTCTCATACAGAGTACTCTGGTTTCCCTTGGGCTGAGGAGTGTGTGTGTTTCAGCTTCTGTACACACACAGACTGTTTAGCTCCAAGCCCCAAGATCCTGTGTTCTCCAGGGCTTTTTGGTCTTGTGGCTTCCTTGGAGCCCTGCTGCCACAGCTCCCTGGCAGAAACTGCTCTGGAGACACCTCTAAAGGGAGGAATCATCCTATGGAGGGAACAGACGGAAGGATAGCAGCCACTGACTGTTCGTTTTCTTGACCTTCTTTTGATGAGGTGGAAAGAAAGAGAAACTGTTAATGTGATGTTTTGGAAGTGCTAAGCATAGTGTTCAGTATGTCAGCAGGCTGACATAACTCGGAAATCTAAAGTCAGGATTTATTTGGACTGTATCTTTCATTCTGATAGTATCATTAGAGGCCAAACTAAATGAAGCCCCTTAGGAATTACTCATTACTTTACCTGAACATACACTGTCTGTAGGTATAAAGTCTGTCTTTAAAAAAATTCCATTAGTTGGGGTGGGAGAAGGAAGCAAATTATGATTTTGACACCACTGTATTTCAGGGTGTGTGGGGCTGAAAGGATTAACTTTACTTCTCAGATGACTGAAGCTCGCACCCACAGTATTTCATCACTCTGCCAACAGCTCATGCTATTTATTAAATTGAATTATTGAACACATTTTATGATAGTTCTTAGTGAACTAGTGACAAAGTCATCTGAGTCCTACCTAAATATTTGCTGCGAGGACTTTTTAAATATTTGGACAAATACGAGTTACCGTTCAGTGAAATAAGTTGGGTTTTTTATGTGTTACCATCTTCCATTGAATTGAAATAAACAGTTTTTCTTTGCCCTTCCATCAGTTCCAAAACTACTTGTTTCACCCATTCTTAAATAGCTATGTGTTACATGAGGTTTGGAGATCTTAAGTAGTGTACTGGAATACAAGTTCCATGTGGTGAGAATGCTTTTTCATGTACTAGCTATTATTTGGATTAAATCCTGTTCATCCTCTTACATGATACTGAATTGACAAATAGTTTAAGTAGATAAGCAGTTTCTTCACCTGTTTCTGTTTTTCCAAGAGGCTGGCTAAATTTTAAAGTTAAATTCATAGTGTTATATAGTTTATAAAAGACTTGGTGAATTGCTTCAAAGTCTGTTTGCCTGTACAACAAAGATGATGTTTCATTGTGGCAGTGTAACAGAATTTAGCAAATTATATCAGATTAGTGCTTGATAATGTCACCTTGTAGAAGCAGCAATCTTCTGGGTGGTGATAGGTATACTTGTAGCATATTTGCCCAGTCTTTATTCTTGATAGATTGTTAAGAGGAAAAGCATGGCGATTCTCCTTTTAGATTTATTGATTTAATCATATGAGCCATACAGATATGAATCAAAGTTGTATCATATCAACATATCAAGTTCCTTTGATTTATTTGCCAGTTTCTTTGTGGCTTAAGTGCTCTGGGTTTTATTATGGGCAAACAGCAAGGAAAGGTTAATGAATTGCTTTGTAAGGCCCAAAGAGGAAAAGTGATGATATCAAACATAGAAAAGAGCTAGATGGAGACTGTAAAGGAATATATGTTGAAATACAATCCTACATAATTATTGTGATTTACTGTAGTGATATACCATTCTGCAGAGGGATGTTTAGGAAAGCAGAATTTACAGGAAAGTGGAAATTCATTGTTTTTTTTTTTTAATCCAAGTTAGACCAAACTCCTGCATGCACTGTTAATTCCCACAGTAGAAATCCAAAGAAAATCTATCATCTTAAATGTGTTAGGCAAACAAAACAATTATATCTAATTTTCCATTATTCCACCAGAATACTGCTTTTGCAGGCTATGAAGTACACTCCTGCTTCCTGCAGTTGGTGGTATTTAGAAAATCAGGCAGAGGTAGTTGGGCTTTCTTTTGTTTGCTATTGTTAATGCCCTCTGTTTACAGAGAAAGACTTGAAGTCTTCTATACTCTCCCATCCCCTATCCCCCAAGGGGTAACTGTCATCTTCCCTGGCAAAGAAAGGGGAAATAACAGTCAAAATCAGTGGTTCATATCAACCTCATGGCAATTGCTGTCTGTGTCCCAAGGAGCTAGAAACTGAAACTTTGCAATGCTAAAAGGTACGGGAAGCTTAACTTCAGAACCAGGAGTTAGATCTTAGCATGACTTACTCTGAATTAACAGGGTTTCAACCACACTTTATTGGTAGTGAAGTAAAACTTTTCCACCAAACATTGTCTGACTGACAGCAGATACTCTCCTTTTCATTGTTCTAGCATCCTTCTCAACTTTTTCACCCCTTTTTTTCCCAACACAGATAATTTATTGCACCACATTTTATCACTTTATCTGCAATTCAGCTAGAAACATAGCAATTAAAAATGCAGAAGGAAGAAAAGTTTAGAAAAATTCAGCTTCCCCAGACTGACAGAAAAAATACTTATGTTAGATCCGTGCCAGCTTAATTACAACAATTAAAAACGTCTATGTAAAACAATGGAAGGTATGTGGAGTAAAATACCAAGTCCCTAAAATAATCACTTCTTTAAAACATTATTTTCTTCCTAATTCTTGGAAAGTATTTCTTGCTTATCTAAAAACACTTCTCTAGTTTACAGTTCTCTGCACAACATTTTAATAGTTTGTTATTTTTTTCAACACACACACTTGATATTACTTGAAGAGTTAAAGAAAAACTCTTTATATAGAAAGGTGACAGCTTAGAGCTGCTTCATTCTTTGATAGGCTTGTTGACTGAAAATGTTCCCTAAGATTGAAATTGCATCATCTTTTTCCTTTCTAGTATGCTTGCAATGGAAGAAATATTCATAGGTAGTGAATTTGTGATCATCCCTGACACACCTGCAGCACTGTAAAATGCACTGATGCTTAGTGGTGGAACATTTGCAGTTTGTTGAAGCTGAGCAGACATTGTACCATAAGCCAATAACAGCAATTTTAAGAGTACTTAATATCTCTTAGGTGTTTAAATTTTGAATTTTTGCCTATGTCCATAACTTGATCAGATTTAGTAGATATTGAATACTGTTAAATATTAAACTACAGCAATATGCAGTGGCCTTCATCATTTAGAATGCTAATAATTTCATTGCTTGGCTTGCTAGCACTGCTGGCAATAATGGATTTTTTAATAGAATTCTGAGGAACCAATTACCATCAAAGATTAACATTTTTATAGGTTGAGTTTGTAAGAATAGTTATAAGTAAATACAGTTTCAGAGGTTCTAATGTAGTATTTATTGTTTGAAGATTAATCATTGTGTATGCTGCTTTATTCAAATATTTTTTGGAATAGGTGACTCAGCTTTGTTGTTTTATCACAGTGCTATGAATGCAGCAGGAAAATTTAATATTTTCTAGACTCAGTGGTTCAAACAATAACAATAACTGAAAAGAAGAAAAATACATTTGTATCATTTTGCAAAAATACTTTTAGTTAACTTTGACATTTAAAATCAACTAGCTGTCCCTCACAGGGAAGACAGGTAGGAAACCAGAAAGATGTAATGCTAGAAGTTTTCATCTCAGGAGAAAAAATAATTGAAATGTCATGAAAATAATTGTTTAAAAATAGAATAGTTTTATACTTCTAATCTGTTTCAATTTCTACCATTTTGAACATTTTTTTAATGCTACTTGTCTAAGTCTTTTTGGTGCCAAAGAATTTGGCAGTTTTTTAGTATTAGTGTGAAACTGGTTACCCTTAATGTGAAGCTTTACTTACCTAGAATCCAAAGGTAGTATGTTATTTAAAAAAATATACAACATCTAGGGGCTAAAAACCTATGGATTGCATTTTCTATGTCTATCTGCTGTGTTAGAAGATCACATCGGTTTCCATTGTAAGTTATCTGTTAGTAAACAACCACAGTTTTCAACACTTTTAAAATGTAAAATTGATCTGGATATTGTTTAATAATACTATACTCTGCAATGAATGTTAATACTACTTGGTTTACAAAAACTATTTTCACTAAAATGGGGAGATTGTCACATAGGTCAAGATTAGCTTTGGGGTTCATATGATCCTGTAGTGAGAACTGCTTGCTAGCACTAACGGGAATATTTTTCCAACATGCCAAATGTTTATCCTTGTACTAGTTTAGAATTTACCTTTTGCACTCTTGAGTTTTTCACCGGTTGCTTATATAGTTCAGCTGTGTATTTTTTTATTGCTTGTAGGGTTCAGATACATAACTTCATGCTTTACTGATGATTGTTTTCCAGTTACTTAAGCAGCTGATTGGGACCCATTACTTGCAATTCTAAGTCCATTTTAACTCCCCTCTTGCTTGACTTTGTGATCCTCAGTATATAGTTATGTGCTGGGCATAGTACCATGTATCTCCCAGGTCAGTTAAGTAATGTGCAGCTTAGTATATGAAAAGCAGCTTTTAAGGGAGAAGAATTGTCGAATAAGACGTGAGGATTTGCTTTCATCATCTGTTTTACATTGCTTCTGAAAGAGTGAATCAGTACTTGAATAACTTTGTGTGAAATCTCAGGCTTTGTTTAATTCACTTTTATTTAGAAAGAACCTTAAAGTGTTTAATTGAAACTTTTTTCGTTTTTCCTGTGTTTTATTAGCCAGCTTTCTTTTTCAGCAGTAACTGTGTGTGTTGATTTATTATTTGATTTTCTTTATCTTTTTTCCACTCCTCCTGACAGTCATACCCGTCCAATTACATGGACCAAATGAAGCCAAACAAATACAGCGTCATTTATTCAACACCGAGTATGTTGCATAGTAAATTCTACTCAAACCCAGAAGGACTATCAAATGGAATCCAGATGGAGCCAGTAGACCTTACAGTGAACAAACGGAGCTCACCACCTTCAACTGGAAGTTCTTCCCCGCTAAAATTTCAGACTGTGCATAGGAGAACTTCACCTGCATTGACTCTGTCCTCACCCAGCTCACCTCTCAGTAAATTCACACCGTCACCCCCAGGAGTACAGCCTATTTCCATGCCCATAACAATCCCACCTGTAATGGCTGCTGCTCTTTCACGCCACGGACTGAGGAGCCCTGGAATTCTCCCGGTTATACAGCCTGTTGTGGTCCAGCCGGTTCCTTTTATGTATGCTCCCCATCTTCAGCAGCCCATCATGGTGTCCACAGTTCTTGCAGATGAGATGGAAACTCCAAGTAGCATGCAAGGTTGGTGTTGTCAGAGTTTCTTTTTCATGCCATCTCATCGTGGGAAAATAACTGTATATCCAGGCACTTTTTTGTGTGTTTTTTGCCTTTTAGGAAATGGAACATAATTCCTGTTCTTCTTAAATATGCAGGCATAGAATTTACTGTATAAATATTTTACCAGACTTAGCAAGGTCGTATTCTGTTCTGATTTATACATGCATAAAACTGTTTGTCTACTGAGATTCGGACTGATGAAAATGAATAGAATTGTTCTGAATCATAGTTCATCGGGAGATAGACTAAAACTGGAAGATTTTGTGTTTTAGCATAAATTGTTGTACTAAATACAGAGCTGTGGGATTTCTTTTGTTTTAACCATAGATTTTACGTATATTTTTTATTTCCATAAATCTCCATATTTTTGATGTGTTGCCTTCCTTATACCCTCCCCTGATACAGTGCCTGTCATTGAGTCTTATGAGAAGCCTACACTGAAGAAAGCAATCAAAGTAGAGCCAGGGAGTGAACCATCAAAGACTGACTTCTATCCTGAACAAATGTCACCCCCATTGATGACCTCATTGTCTCCTCAGCAAGTAATGTTGCAAGAGTAAGTAGCTAACAGTAGTCCCAAGATCAGCAGAAGAATGAACAGCAGTTCATTGCAGCAGGAACCAATTTTGAGGAGTGGGAGGAAGTGTTGCTGTGCTTTAGAACATGTGATAAAATACAGAAGAACATCCTTACCCCCCACTGCCACTGTGAAATGTGATTTCAACCTTTTTTTTGTCCCTCCATATACTCCAGTACAGGAGTTAATATGTATGTATACATCACAACCACATAGATCTGCCACTTATATAATGCATTTCTAAAGTAATGCTAGTCTCAATCCTACAGTTCACTGAAAGTACGACTCCCAGTAAGCCAGCAGTACCCGTTTATGAAAAACAGCAGCAAAGTGGAAAGATACTGTAAAGACATTTCATACTAATTGCTGTATTTATGTGACCTAAAATACCTTTAAAAAGATTGTTGTGACTTCCTTTTCTTGGAGGACCTCTTTGTCTTTTAAGAAATTTTGGCTACTTGGTGGAAAGAACCACCTCAGGCCTAGAAGTTCTGTATATATCCAGTGAAATTCTATGTTTACCTGAAGCCATTGTTCCATGGGTGGGTTTTTTTGGCAGCTCAAGTAGTTCCTGAATCTCGCTTTCCTCCCAGCAACTTGTTTCCACCCCAGTACCAACTCACTGTGCTGTTACAAGTGTTACTGGGGCCACAGCATGAACCAGATCACAGATCTAACTGGGTTTAAAACAGTCCTCTCTGCAGAAGACAGAGCAAGAGCTAGGAAGAAGTAGTAAGGTCTGGGACAGAAAATTTTTAATTGGAAATACTAAAAATTTCTCGGGAAATACCTGAAGAGCCATGGTCACCCTTCTGTTTCCCATTTTCCTAGGGGAAATTCTGTCAAATTAGCAGAATCATGGAGTGGCCTGGAGCCTGGCTCATTCTTCAGCAGGCAGTGCTCTGGGCAGGCCTGCAGGCTGCTGGTGTGGCTGTGGCAGGAGCTGAAATTGGGAACTGAGCTGGGCGCACAATACATGACCTCAGAACCCATTTCTGCCATTTCTTCCTCCTCACCCTTGCCCTCAGAGCGGTTGTACGAGACCTCACCTCCTAGAGTGGGGAAAAAGGGCTCCAAGCCAGACTCCCAAAACCAGTGTTTGAATCTGGGGTGATTCAGAAAGAGAGAGAAAGCCTGGGATGGGCATTCTGCATTTCCTTCAGAAGGCAGCCTCTTCCTCCTGCTCATGACTGTTCCCAGGTTGGAAGGCACCCCGTGGCTCCGGGGCCACCTGCATTCTCCACAGCCTTCTTGTGGGCACCCCTCCTCGTTTTCAAGTGTCTAACCAGCTCAGATGCAGCTTGTAGACTGCAGGCTCTTTGCAATTAACTAGTTGGCAGCTAGCTTTTATAAACTATCTGCCGTTTATCTAAAAATAACTTTATATGTTTTGTTATAATAAACATACAACAGTAAACATCCATGTTTACTAGGCGCTTTCTTATCTTCCACAATGGACCTGCCACACTAGGGAGTCAGGTCTGCATGTACTTGAAACTAACTTCTGCTAGGTCAGGACTATCAGAGGTTTTGGTTTACTTTTGTTCTTTGTTAGGCCTCTTTAACAAGAGCAAACCAGTAAGTGCTGTTCCTCTCATACCACACCCTTCCTCCAGGGCTGAGACTTCTGCAGACTTGTCACCTGCATTAGTGATTTGCATTAATTATTTCCCAATGAGTCCAGTTTCCACAGGAAACCCATCCGCTGAGCAAAGAATATAAAATTTGGTATAATATGTAGGTAGTGTTGTTAGAAAAAACATTTGAATAGTCCGTGCTTCTGAAGCATCTCATCTGCTTGCCCATACAGAGCCTTATGTTTATGGAGACCCTGTCCTCACATTGTAAGGGCTTAAATTGCTTCCCAGCTGTCTGCAGAGCTAAAGTTCTTGCTCATTGCTAAAGCCAGCCCCTTCAAGTTCATCTTCTGCTGTATCCATAGCAAGAATTTTGTAAATGGTAGTTTTTATCTTCTTATCATTAAAAAAATAGACAACTCGTACAAATTACAAGATGAGAAACCTAAATGTTTATAAAAAAATTCCTGTTCTCTCACAGCTTTATCAGCCTCTTGCTCTGCATTATGAGCTATAGTTAGGCAATGATTTTTAATAATTTTTCATAGGTTCCAGCTGCCCAAAGCACACTATTCAGACACATAAGCTACATTAAGGGGGCATAAGGAAAGCTTCAGTCTCACTTTTGAGTGACTGATTTTGCTTTAGTGCTCATTTTTGGCATGCACATTATATATACATCTACACGGTGCTAGTGGCATTTCTGTAGGGATTGCTGGACTTTCTCTTATGTCTGATAATTGACATAACTATGCAGTTATTACTAAAGTCAAAGTTGAGGTAATAATCTCTGACCAAATATAATAAGCCTCATAACATTGTATTTTTTTTGCAAGTGTCAAAGTCTGACTCGGGCCGTTAGCATAGTCTGGTCCGTTGGTAAAGAAGAAAAAGTTGTTAAAATTGTAACGTGATTTTTGGAAGATACTCTTATCTATTAAAGAGTGACACTTAAATGAATTTGTATCTGGTTGTGCAAGAGCGAATGAAAGAATTAGGGCTGTGCTTTTATTATTGGCACGTACTTGATATTTACCTCTGATTTTTGACACCGCCTTAACCATTTTTTAAAACTACCACACCCCATCTGATTATTGATAACATTCTGTAGTCTTGCCAGCCTCCTTTCCTCTAAAGGGAAAATGAGACAGAGACATATTCTCTGTGCTTTCATTACATGTTCTTAGACAGAAAACCATCACAAATGGTGTACAGCCAATATCCTTTTCCCCCCCTTTTTCCATATGTTGCCAGGACTAGCCTCCACACATAGGGATTTAAACTAAGTTTGCTTGCTGTCCTAAGCCAGAGCTTCTCCAAAAAGACCAGTATGCAACAGTGTTAAAACTGAGCATTGCTTTAGAGAAGCATTTCTCTGGAAGCTAAAGCATGCCTTTCATATTTAATTTTAAAGTATGCACATCTGCATCGAACATCACCATTGTGGTTTCCCGCCATTACAGTATTTTTAGCTAGATTTAGTGTGCATTTGAGGAGTACATCACTCAACAGTCACAGAAACACCCAAGAAAGATAATTTGGCTCCCAATTTCATGCTTGTAACTCTAATAAAAGAATTAATAACAGAATTAAACCTTTCCTACATTGGTAATTCCCATCTTGCTGCTGTGGAGAGTCATAGAAAACTTTTTTCTTGTTAAACCATGCACAGGATTTTCTATCTTTAGCACATGCCCTTTATTTTGCTGAGATAAGCATTCGTTGTTTATGAAAATCAGGCCCTAAAGGAACTTGGTTTAAGTAACTAATGTAACCTAGTGTTACAAACATAATTCAATCAGTAAAGAAATACGAAATACAGTAACTGAGAAAAGACAGGAGTTCTAAAAAGCTTAATTCTCTCACATGGAGGAGCTGTTTTTGCAACAGGGAATGCAAATATCTGCACATTATATACTAAGTTAAGAGCTAAAAAATATATTAAAAGCACTGGTACAGATCTGCTAGGGTTGAAAAATGCAACTTTTATGAGGTTTCAAGGTTCGTATTGCCACTTGCCTTTTGACAGACATACGTATTTCTTTTTCTAACACTGACATGAAAGAAAGAAGTTGTCCCCAGTTGTACAGTAGGAGGGGGGTTCAAACCTAAATATCCATTCAATGACACCTTTTAAGAAGCTCGATGTGTTTTCACATCCATGAATATTTATGTTTTTGATCGTTACAGAAGTTCATATGTAGTTAATATGTGTCTTACCTGCACTGTACCTGTGGGCTTCAAAAGCAAAAAATGATGTTTATGAAGGTGGAGGGACAACTTCAGACATCCTGTGGGTGTGCCACACAGGCTAAACTCTACTTTTAGGAATTGACGTCAGTGGTATATGGAGGCCGCACCCTCCTGCCAGCACCAAACAGGAAATTCTTAATTACTCTCTAAAGGAGTGGCTGGAACAATAAAGATTGAGTTCTGCTTTGAACCCTAAAGATACAATTTCTTTAATAATATAGAATAGCTGTTTCCAATTACAAGCAAAATAGTTAACTTTTGAAGGAAGAAGAAGAAAAGTTGTGAAATACAAGCAAAGTTCATTATGAACTCAAGAGTTTGAGAAATCTGGGTTTGACTGAAAAACAGGAATTTGAAGGGGGTTTTTCCTTTGTAAGCTTAAAAAAAGCTAGGGAGTAGTAAAAATGGCTACATCATGCCACAAAGTGAGTAAACATTTAAAAATATTACTGCTAGAATACATGAAATTTGCTAAACCCTCTTGAATTTTTCAACATGCGTGTAATGTTGTTCTTTCTTCCAAGAGACAGAGTGGTAGCAAATACAGGACTCTGTCATGATTCCTATTAGCTGAGGTTTGCTGTGCTAAATGTTTTTCATTTTTAACATTCAGTTTGACTTTGCAGGAATCACCCTTCAGTTATAGTTCAGCCAGGAAAGAGACCTTTACCTGTGGAATCTCCGGACACGCAAAGAAAACGCAGAATACATCGCTGCGATTATGAAGGCTGCAACAAAGTCTACACTAAAAGCTCCCATCTGAAAGCTCACAGAAGAACCCATACAGGTTTGAGCTTTGATAAGCTTTTCTTTCATCAAGTCTGTGGTAAAATAGTAGACAAACCTTTTAGTTTGCTAATGGCCAGGTGACCACAGGTGTAAATACAAAATGACAGAAGTTAAATCTGGCATTGTTCTGAATATAACTACAGGCTGAGCGAAAGACAGAGGATGTAGCAGGAAAAACCCACCACGAGACACTAAGCCAAAGCAGGATCACAGTGTATGCTGGTGTGTTTTACATTCACTGGCTCTTTGCTTATTTTCTGTCCACTTGCTTGCAGATTACTCATTCCGCACACCCTGTAAACACCAAATCAGTTCAAATTGCACTACCTCATCTCTTGCATCACTGTTAAATTTGACTGAGACTTCCATGGGAGTAGCCCATTTGTAAAAGTCTGGCCTGTGTGCCAAATACATCTGCTTCATGTGGACATGGTCCATTGGTCCAGTGGTGCTCTTTTATGAGTGAGTGTTGCAATAAACATAGCCCCATCTCTGTTCTCCACAGAAACATTCATCTTGGCATGCGGAATGCATATATGTACATCCAAGGTTTTTACAGAGATACAGGATGCATTTAGGTAAAATGGAGCCCAGTTCATGTCTGTCAAAGCCAGCACTTTACCTGTGGGGCTGCACAATGGTGCTAAGGAGAAGGGGGATCCCATATTAGAATGTAATGCTCGAGAGAGGTTTTAAGTTGAGCTACCTGTGACTGTGGTGCCAGTTACATATACTACAGTAACTTTAAGAGTTCACAAGGAGATTTCTGCTTTGCTATGCTGAATGATAGCACTACTCCTTTCCCTCAGATAATCTAGAGTATGAGGTCCTGGTTTTGAAAATACTTTAACAAATGCTTAAACCTTCCCACTTCTGGGTTCGATGAAACAAAACAAGTGCTAATATGGCAGAGGGAGGAACAGAGACAATAAAAAAAATAAGTTGCGGCAGGAAACAATCTTTTGACCTGTTAACTTTGACTCCACACCTTCTAGTGCAGAGTACTCTGCAGCCCAGTGCTGTCTGGAGGCCTTTTGAGTAAGCATTGAAGTACTTGCTGAAACTTGGCACGGCAAGAGAATAAATCTGTCAGATGTTTAATTGATGTGGTTGTGTCTTAAATTCCCATTTCTGTGTTTGTTTTTCCAGGTGAAAAACCGTACAAATGCACTTGGGAGGGATGCACATGGAAGTTTGCTCGTTCTGATGAACTAACGCGGCATTTCCGCAAGCACACAGGAATCAAACCTTTTCAGTGCCCAGACTGTGACCGCAGCTTTTCACGTTCGGACCATCTTGCTCTTCACAGAAAGCGCCACATGCTAGTCTGAATGTCTTCTGTCCCTGACTCCTGTCACACCTTTTTTTTTTTTCACACATACCTTTTAGTTTGGATTCAGCTGGTCTGAATCTTGGAGTTTATACCATTAAAAGCTTATCTATGGTCAGTAACAGATGTTATCTAACCCTTCTATGTCCTTGCCACGGGTCAGACCTAAAGAATGTGAACACTTTTCTTTTTTTTTCTCCTGGGGATGCTAAGCAAACCCTTTCTGCAGACAGTATGTTTAATGTATTCCATTGTGAATAAGGGAATTTGTAAACTAACAGCTTTTGTTAGTTTCTTCATATAATCAACCCAGCATATCCTGATAAAGTAGTAAATGTTACTGAATATCCAAAATGCTAGTCCTTGCCAGAGACTTCTATTTATGTGCCCTGTAAGGGATACACTCTCATTTTATGCTCAACAATGCAATGAATGGACTCTCCCAACCGTGTTGATTTCTGCAATATGGTTAATAGTTTTAGAAAGGCACCCGATTCAGAAATCCCCTCTGCCTGAACAGTGAGTAACACTGTAGAAATAAATCTAAGCAATATAATTACTTTACAGAAAGATTGAGTTACAGAAAGATCATTTACCCCAGTCAAGAAGAAAATTGGCAGGAATTGGTCAATACATAATACTGTGCATCTAAACCAATGTAATCTGTCCTCTGTATTATAGTGTAGTATATATCCTTGTTTTTATTGCGTAATGCCCTGGTGGATTTGTTAAATGAAGACTTTGTGTGACACTGTATGTCTGGTTTCTGTGCAAGTGTATGGATGGAACACACACGGTACCCTCCTCTGACGTGGCATTAAATGGTATTCATAGAAGCCTACCACACCTCATTGCAGGGATATAGACTATCCCTCTACAATCACTCCCCTACATTTCCTCTAAAGAATTTTTTCTCTTTGCTGTACCTCAGAAAATAGCAATCATTATGTGAAAAATGCTCCAAACTGTATTGTTTGCAAGTGAGTGCCACTTTAATACACTACAGTATTTAAAATTATTAATCCACAATGTTTTTATGAGAAGATGGCATCAGATGTGAAGCACTTCTCATGATAAATTGAGTCATGTATCTGTTTTGGATAAAGACAAATACCAATTCATCCACTCGATAACTCTTGATTTGTGACTCTGGTAGTAGTAGGTGGGTAAAGTTTCCCTGTGGATGTTTCTGTTGCAGTAAAATACCACATCAGCAAGTCCTAACTCCCATGTCATTTAGCAAACACAATTTGATAGATAAAATAAACTGAATGCAAGCAACCTGCAGTTGACCCTAGAAATGTTCCCGTCTCTGGAAGCCCACTGCAAGGAAGGTTTATGTCTTTCTTAGCTGGCAGACTTTGTGGCACTGCAAGGAAACAGGATGTATTTCTTGAGGCTCTTAGCACCAGGGCGTTTTTCTTCTTTCCCCTACATAAGGTAAACATCATGAAGCATACTGAAATCAGATTTTCATTTCTCTTGGAAAAACTCACTGGAAGATGGAGGGGTGAGAGGCGGAGGAGTTTCCTAAAACTCTCCAGGAGGAGTCAGGTGGAGTGTCCATCTGGGGGTGGGTGTGTTTGAGCTCATGGAGCAGGTAGGCTGTGCTACACCCTGTGGAGTCCAATGGCAACCTAAAAGAATCCTGCAGATGCAAGAGTTTGAGTGCCAGAGAGCCTTCCCTTGGTGATAGGAGTTTACCAGCTGTTCTGCTGACATCCACATGCTCCTAGAGTGAGAGGAGAGGATCTGTCCTCCTTGGAGAAAAACGCTCCTGCAGCGATTGCTGTGAAATACGAAGTACCGTTCCAGTTGTTTAACAAATCTTACATGTGGGAATACGGAACTGGCGATTTTATTTAAAGAATAGAGCCCCGAACATGTGCTCTACAAAGGGGAGCACTGGGGCTTGCAAAGCAGGGCTGGGAACGTTGCTGCAAAGCTTTTGTGAGGAAGATCTGTACGCTCTGTTGCGGCACCATGCATCCTCACCGCTCCGCTACGACCGAGGGAAGTTACACCAGACCTGTCTTGTAACGCCCTCATCTGCTTATCTATGGAGCTGAAAAACCTGGGAGATGAATCGATCTTGGCTAGGACACTGAGGAACTTGCAGGGAAGACAATTATAGTAATGAGCAGCTGTTCTGGAATGAGAGTTTTTGTTGGATATTTTTATTGTCCGTGGTAGCAGCATTGGCCTTCATCAGGCTCTGAACTGACTGAGAGGCTGTGTGGAGCCCCGGTAGCATCAGTCATAAGTCTACAGACATTTAGTATCCTGGGATTAAAACAATTCTCTATTATATGCTAGGGAAAAAAAAAACAGATGAGATCCTATAAAAACAAGCAGCTTAATGGCAACTGGTCCCATTCTTAGCTTAACAAATGCAGAAGCATAAAATTTGGGGTGGAACATTTCTTTCCAGTGCTCTGTTTCTTTTTTAAAGCTTTCACAAAATATTTTCTTTATTTTTTTTTAATTTAGAAATCTAAAATGAAGTACCCTAAAAGGAGAACATCTTCATAACTATGAGTTACTTTGGAGAATTTAATCTAGGTTATTTGCCATGTTCATTCATTAGCCTGTGTAACTTTCTCCTGAAAATATACTAATTGTGGGAACAAATACAGTGAAGATTCAATAGAACTTTAAAATATCTTTATTCATGTGCCTTGTGATTTAGGACAACAGAAATTTAAATATTAAATATTTGAGATTATTTCATGTAAATGCCTTGCTTATAGGATTTTTCACTTGTGTCTGTGGTGTCTTTTTGTGAAATGTCAAAAAAGTCACAAACACGTAATGTGAATTTACATCTTAACTGGCTCATTGATTCACTTTAGCAAACTGATTTGAGGGATATCTTGTAATTTTTAAATATACACAATAATTTTTAAAGCCAGTCCTTCCATCTTTACCCTAAAGAGAAGCCAATTCAGATATAAACAGAAAACACCAATCCTGCAGAACGTATATTTTTAAAAGCCACCGTTTTCCCCAGCAGTAATGCACTGTGCAGTGTGTAACAGGTAATACTGTTTTACTGAAATGGGCCTGTTTAAGTTTCCAAGACAATCACAAAAAGCTAAAAAGGTATTAATGTGTGTGGGGGGGTATATTTAAATATACACTGCCATTCTGCCGTGATATTTCTAATGCCACATCTTGTCCAAATACATTGTTGTCTCTGTCAAGGTTAGCAACATTTAGATGAATAAAAAACCTTTCTATAAAAAATTACAAAGCATTTTACATACCTTAAGGGGTCTACACCAGTTTTCATTGTATTTTACAGATACTAGCACTTTTTAAAAATTTACTTTAAATATTAGAGGGTCAAAATAATCTTTCTGCTTAGCATCTCTTACCTGCAAATATAGCAGGGATATTATATTTACTTTAATACTTGTATAAACTATACAGAAATTTTTTAATAAAATGTAATATATTTTATAAGCTAATAAGACTGAATGGGTAATTAAAGGTTTCTAGTGTGCATTACTATAACTTACAGAGACATTTTGGTAATCTTTTCTTACTAAAGATGTGAATGTTTAATGTACTTTCACTGTTTCTACTTTGGTAGTCCAATGGGAATTCAGTAATGACATTTTGTCATGTCAAACTGTGAACATAAATTTGTACTGTACAGTCCTCATACTATATTTAGTATACAATGCCTATGTATTATACTTGTTAATAAAACCCTCAGAATATTGTTTGTGGTCATGTTATCACATGCTGTACGCCAAGGGACAATGCCAGGGGCACAAGGGCCAGGGGTGCCCGGGGATCCCCTGGGTTTTCGGGTGGTCCTGCAGCACTCCTCCACACCTCCCATGTGTACCTTCTGGTACGGGCAGGAGCAGGCAGGGCAGGAGCAGGCAGGGCAGGAGCACCAGGCATTGTAGGTGCTGCCTGTAAGCACCTGCGCTGCTTCTAGCTCCTGTGCTGTGGGCAAGCTGTGCACTTAGAGGCAAACTCACAAAAATGGTTTACTCGCTTCTAATTTGGGCTTTTTAATTGGTTCATTGGTAGGTCTGGAGCACTAAACATGTGAGTTTGCATTTTTTATCACTCGCAAAACAGCCGTCTGGCCCTGCTCCTTTAGTCATGCTCTTCCCCGCAGCACTTTCCCAAGACGGGGTGCCAGAGCAGACAGTGCAGGCACAGGTGCCAATGCATCAATGCTCACAAATCCTGCTCACCTCCAGGCACACCCACAGCCTCTGCTGAGAGATGATGATGTATAGAGCTAACGAAGAATGTTTTTTTTTCTTTGCACCATTTCAGATGCCTAAAAAGAGTGAGCCCAGTTGAGTTTGCTGTGCATCTCAACACTTTTCATTGTTGCAGAGTTAATTGCACATGTGTCATGGTTTGAACTCAGAGGGCAACTGAGCACCATGCAGCCACTCACTCCCCCCCTTCCCCCTCCAGCATTGGGAAGGAGAAAATAAAGCACAAGGCTTGGGATTTGAGATAAGGACAGGGAGGGATGACTCACCCATTACTGTCACAGGCAAAAAACAGACTCATTAGGGGAAGGAAAAAAAAATAAAAAGAACATAAATTTAATACAGACACTAACAACAACAACACCTAACACACAGAGTAGGACAGTGGGAAGCATTACCACATCTCAAGAGCACCTTCCCCCCACCCCTCCCTTCTTCCCGGGCTCAGCTCTGCTCCCGATATCTCTACCTCCTCCCCCAGCAGCACAGGAGCAGGGAATGGGGGGTGCAGTGAGTGCTGCCACTTCTTCCATCTTCAGTGAGGGAAGATTCTGGAACTTCTTGCCCCTGCTCCAGCATGGTCCCCCTCTCACAGGAGACAGTCCTGCACAACTTTTCTCCAACTGGAGTCCCTCCCATGGGCTGCAGCCCTTCCCGAGCTGCTCCGGCATGGGACACCCCCGTATGTTGCAATCCTCCCAGCACTGAACTGCAACAGCAGGGGCTGCTTCTTCCCACAGGATCCTGGCCTCCTTTGGGTGTAATCACCTGCTTTGGTATGGGGCCCCCCACAGACCACAGGTCGGCAGCATCTCCACTGTAAACGTCCATAGGTGCCGGGGGGGGGGGGGGGGGCGGCCTTGTCATGTCACCATGGGCTGCAGGGGGGTTTCTGCTCTGGTGCACCTCCCCTCCTCTTTCCTTCTCCATCCTTCCACTGATCTCAGTGTTCATGCAGCTGCCGCAACTCCTCCTCCCAGGTCCCTTCTTAAATACATTATCGCAGAGGCGCAGCTGATGGGGCTTGGCCTTGGTGCAGAGGTGGGGCCGACTTGGAGCTGGGTGAGCTTCCAGAAGTTTCTCACAGGGGGCCACCCCTATAGCCCCCTCCCCTGCTACCAAAAACCCCGCCACTCACTCAAACCCAGGACAACCAAGATGTTGGTCTATTGCTGCCTGGGACCCAGCAGATCATGCTGGTGAGCATCTACATGATTCCATGGTGACATATAGAAGGGAAAGCAGGTACAGCAGAAGTGAGGCATAAAAATAAAACCCTGCAAACAGCAAAGAGAATGTAAGAAAATGACCGGCTTGTATTTCTTGGCATCCTGCTTGAAAATAAGGATTGATCATTGTAAAGCAAGAGTCAGAGTTCACATCATGCTGTTGATTTACAAGGTTCATTTGTTAGCGAACCAGTTGGTATCTGCACTCCACAGCCTACCTGTCGGGAGGGACCGATGGCATGGGGGACAGTCACAGCCACAGACCCCACACGGGAGCTGCCCTGAGGAAGGGCTCACCCTGACCTGTGCACACCTGCGAGAGGTTCCTGCATTTTCTGGGCTGACATGATTATCTATTTCAGTTTTCCTAAGAGGCAAAATGCATTGTATGTATTCTAGCATGAGCTATTTTTTTCAGGAAATAGTAATAATTTAATTGGACACTGGGTGTCACCCTTAGCCTGAGGAAAAGGCAAAAGTTAAGCTTTTGAACTCAGGCCTGGCTGCACACTAACACCATCAATACACCATGCTGCCAATACACCGTGGTTCCAGGCCTGTGAGCTCAGTGAGAGCAGAACCTGACATCATTTTTATAAATACAGACATTAGTATGACAGTATTTCAAGAGTTTAACCAGATGCGTGTGTCCTGTAAGTCTTGCAGACTTATTCCCAAGAGGCAGCTCTACGAACACACAAAAAAATTCAACTACATATTGCCTCATAAAAAAGAGTGAAGAAAAGCAGTTGCTACATTTGATAAAAACAGAAAATAATCAACACTTCATGAACCCTCTGAACAGAAACAGAATTTTGGGGAAGAAGAAGATGGAAGTTTCAACAGGGAAATAATGAGAAACACTGTCAAATGGTAACTTAGGGAAAAAAAAAAATCTGCTTTGTCAAAGAAACTCAGAAGTGTATTTTATGCAACTGTAGTGTATGGTACAGTATGTAAGTCACTGAAATACTGTACCATGTGCATAAGCAATTTGTGAGATAGGAAGAACAGAGTATAAAGGGTGTTACACATGTTTAATACCCTAAAACAACATACATGACAGACTTGAGAGACTATTCCTTTCACACCTACCTATAAATTAGGTTTCAAAAAAGTCTTAAAGGTGAGGGACTCTTCTGCAGCCCAGACCCTGTACATTATTTAGGACATAAAACCCAGTTTGCTGATGCATTACATTTACAGAGACCGGAAAGCCTGATTTGAGAAATGTTACTTCCTCTTTTCTTGTGTAGTAAACAGGATAGAATACGTACCCACTAAAACGTTACCAATAAACGTGAATGCTAATCGTGTACTTAGACTGTAATTCTTGGGAGGGGGAGAAGTCTTTCAGGAAGGAAGGGTACAGCTTTTCTGGTAGCATTCTCCACCGTAAAGCGCAGCAGAGCCCTGAAGAGGTAAAGGCTACAAAACTCCTAACCAGCTTAATGTGCACTTAAGTACCTGAGAGCTGCACAGCACACAAGCCTTAAATTAGAGACAGATGTAACTGGCTGTAGCTGTAATAAAGAAGCCGCTCAAGCTTAGCCGGGCAATTGCCCAAGAGCAGACAGCAATGATATGAAGAAAGTAAAGAACCTGCACCCAGAGGGATGCTTTAGGGCTGGGAAAAACCTGTTAAGAAGGAAATGTTGCAGCTCCAGCGGCGCATTCAGGCAGCAGCCCCCAGGCTTGACATCACTGCTCCTGTGGAAAGCATCTCACAGCCTGCTATAACTGGCTGGCTGGCAGGTTTGCAATGCACTTTTGGCAGCGCCCCATGGTGCCCAATGCCCCTGGCCGCCAGGTTGGGTTGCCGGGAAGCACAAGTGACTCTCAGGATAGGGTAAAGCCTTCCTGACCTGACATCCTACAGAGCGCTAAGCTCGTCTGTGTCTTTGAACATCTCCCCTCATCATAAATAACATGCTTTTCAGGCATGACGCATCCACCAGCTCCCACTGAAGTACTAAGGGTTCAGCAGCCCTTTTCAAGGTACACAAAGAAAGCTTGGTCCTGGCTGTGGGAAGAGGGACGTCTCAGTTATGTGTTAACACAGAAGTCAGCAGCCAACTTCCCCTTCACCTGTAATTAAGACTTAACAGAGATTTGCTGCCCTTCTTTCCAAAGCTCTATATTGAGAGCCAGGCACCTAGCATCCCACCGCAATGCCCAGTTAACCTGAGCTGGTAGGTGGGTGCGCAGTGGAGTCTCAGCGCCGCTGGACACCGGGACACTCTCCCGTAGCTTCCCATCCCCTGCTTCATCTAGCTGCCACCACTCACGCCTGGAGGTGCTCCGTCAGCCGCCTCGGCGAGTGTGAAGGGTCACATCCTCTCACTGGCTTGCTCACCTCACGTGCTGCTCACAGCTGTGATCAGAGGGCTTTGCGTTTCCATTGAGCCGTAAGTATAATTACACAACTCCTCATCACCAGTGAAATGACACCAGGAAATTTAATAACAGAATAAACTGAGAGGTTTATTAGATTGTCAAATTAAATCCAAGCACAGCAAATGATTAGATGTCTCCCATCAACAAATACCATCAGTTTAATCAGTTTGATTTTAGCAGAGAAGTTATTTCCCAATGAAAATTACTCCTCTTTCACTTGCTCATTAAAAGGTCAAGGTTAAGAGAGCTCACTGAGAGTCTGGAGACATTAAGGGGATTCACCTCCAAACATCAAGCTTCTCCATTTTAGAAAACAGGAAAAACAAGCAATCATATATAGCTTGATATGATCATAGCAGAAAGCAGCAATATTGTAGTACTATAAAAATGTAATAAGTTCAGACACTAACTATTATTTTGAGGGCAATAAATAGCACATTCTATGAAATTATTAATTGGTAGGTAAATCTAGGCAAGTAGAAATGTTTAGTACAGCAAAGGAAGAAGAATACAAAACAGGGATTAATGGATCCAGCTTTCAGCTCTTACCCAGGGAAGTCTCTGTCTGTGATGAGAGGAAAGACTTCCAGGAAAGGAAAAGAGGTTGAAGGTGTAGCAATACTGTACCTTTGACATCTACTATACCAATGTAAAGGAAGGTACTTAAACAAGAGCTTTCTTCTTCTTCGTATTAATTAAACCCAACAAAGCAGATCCCAACCACCTAAACCTCACAACAACCATGTCACAAGAAAGATAAAATACATGCCTTGACAGTCCCAATGACATTGAACCAACTACTATTTTTGTTACTTTCAAATATGGCTTTCAATGGGAAAAGTCCAAAATAAATGCAACCCAAGTCTACCAAAATAAATGCAATCACTATGAAAAATTCTCTCTGCTTCTCTTTGTTGATGATGGGCAACAACAGAAGATTTCTGACTACTTTCATGATTATAATAAACAATAGCAATTTCAATATATCAAAACTGTATTTTGATACAAACTAGGAATACTGTAAAAAACTATAAAAAATGATTAGCACAATTTAATGCAAGACAGTCAAGTCAGTTATTCACATGCTGACTTATACTACTAGTAGAAGTAACTTCACTCTGCTCCTCATTTGCTTCAAAGGATATTGGCAGGTTAATGCTAATAGCTGCCCTCAGGTTAGCCCAGAAAAGGGCACGCTTGCTCCTCTCCTTCGGCCACTCCAGGTAGGTTCGCTTTGCCATGAGAGCCTTCAGCTTGTGATACCTGGCAGGGATAACATACGGGGGGATCGGCTCCAGTAAAATGAGGATTAAGCTGTTGGAACTCTCACTGAACAACTTGTGATGGGCAAAGTACAGCTCATAGTGACACCACTCGCTCTGCACAAAGTTGGGAGACAACACAAAGATCGACTTGTAGCTCTTCTCAATGCAGTTAATGATGTTCTCCACAATGCTCTTGCCAGGGATGAAGTTTCTCTCGTGCTGGCACAGTTGTACACAGCCCTCCCCCTTCTCCAGGTTCGGGATCAGCTCGTTCTTCACCCACAACGAGTCGCGCTCGCTGTAGGAAATGAACGCGTGAAACTGCAGAACGCTCTCCTGCTCTTCGGGGCGGCTCTGCCGAGCCCTCCGCTTCGTCTGCGTCCACTGCCACGTCATCCGCACGTACCACGGCGCGTCCAGGAAGATGCACAGAAAGGCCACGACGGCCACGAGCGCCAGCGTCAGCAGCAGAGCTGTCACAAGCAAGAGCGTCGCGTTGCAGGCCAGTTCGCTCAGGTGGAAGTCCTTCAGCTGCGTTCCCTTCAAGTCTTCCGGGTACTCGCACACGTACGCCGCCGGCCAGCCAGCCAGCTTCCCCCCAGACCGCCTCTCCAGGCGGACAAAGTCTTGCAGTTCGCAGGAGCACCTGAACGGGTTGTGCCCGGCTTGTAGCTCCCTGACCCTCGTGCAGCTCTGGAAGAAGTCGGCAGACGGGGTGAGGATCAAATTCATCTCTACGTTCAGGACCTCCAGCGACGTAAAGCCACCGCACCCCGGCAGGTCAGCCAGACTGTTCTGTGCCAGGTTCAGCTCCTCCAAGGATTTCAGCTCTGCCAGCCCCTTGGGCACCCTGGTGATCTGATTGCTTTGTAGGTGGAGTTTTTTGATGTTGACTGGCAAGCACTCAAACACGGCATCCATCAACTGATTCGAGGACAGGTCCAGCTCCGTCAGAGATTCAGCCCACCGGCATTGCACGTCAGCTGCATCGTGACGCAGCAAGTTGCCGCTCACGTCCAAATATTTCAGTGATTTCATATGGCTGGTCATGAAGCTTACTTTGGGAAGGCTCTCAAATTTATTCCTCTGCAGAATAAGTAATTTCAGATCTGTCAGAGTATGACAATTCTGGAACAATTCATCTGTCAGGGCATTGTGAGAAAAATTCAATGACTGAAAGGAACTTGTTCTATTGGGGCAAAGCATGTGTGGCATATATGCATCATATATTGTTAAACTGGCAATATTCATCTCTGAAAACTGTCTGTATAGAATCTCCTGATTGAAATAATAAGCCCTATTACGAACGTGCTCCAAAGTTAGTGTTTTCATGGAGCCACCCGAAGAGATTAGTTGTTCCAGAGAGCCTAAGAACAGTAGAAGTTCATGTTCAGGCAGCTCGCTCACTGGTCCCCGGAAAGTCAAATTTCTCACAGTCAGATGTTCCACGGGTGAATACCAAATAAGCAGGAAAATTTGCAAAATGATAGCCCATTGTAAATCCACAGTGTCAAGCACTAGAGCTGTTGTCTTGATTTTCTTCAGAAGTGTTAAAGGAGGAGCAGGGAAATCTTTGTAGCTCAAGGTATATCTTAAGTTAACTATTCTTAAGTTTTCTGCAGTGCTCATGCCATCGTACAGTAGGGAAAAAATGAAGTTTTGGTTTGCTGCAAAGACAATGTCAAGGTTCCTTGTATTCAAGGCTGTCAGACTCTGCGACTCATACAGAGAAAAGTCTTCTAAGGTTAGGATGACAGTGTGCAGCTGCAAATGTATGATATACATGAAGTCTGACCTTCGTATCATCGCAGCACTTAACCCGAGGTACTCCAAACGAAACATGTTTCCGAATTCCTGGCAGATGGGCAAGGCAGTAAACTTATTAAAAGAAAGATCTAAATGTCTAAGATATGGAAGAGTTTGACAGTAAACTTTCAAAATGTTATTATGAGATAAATCTAAGTATCCTAAATCTTCATTAAAAGTGAAGATACTAAAGTCAAGCTCTGTAATTAGATTATGAGAAAGATTTAATACTTGAAGGTCAGGAAGAGAAATAAATTCTGAAATACTAAGTCCAGAGATCTTATTATGTGATAAATCTAATACGTGAGTATGGACTGAAATGTTTTTTGGAACATTAGTTAGCAAATTGCTTGAATAATTTGCAATAAATTCATTTTCCACGGTTGGCTGGATATTATTCCATAGCGTGCACGTAAAGACACAAGCAAAGACATAGATATTTGTAAGAGGTCTCATTGTGCTTTCCAGGTTTATCTTGGTTTTTTACAGAAGCACAGAAGCATATCTTTTTTTTTCTGTTCAATGTGTCTCAGTGATGAGTCCAGCCCTATGAAAAGAAAACACATGGCATTTGCTGAAATTGTTGAACCGTTGAATTGAGGTTTTATTGTTAAAATAAAATTAAATATAAAACTTATGTAATAAAAATCTTATTTTTACATACTCTTGTTCTAAGTTCCTATTAATCCTCTTCATCGCCATTCTTTAATTCCAGTTACTGATTTTTTTCAGTTAAGTAGAAATTAAGTCATTTATAATGGGAGGTATACAGTTGATGATATGTTAAAAAAAACACAGAGATGTTAAGAAATACAAATTTCTCAACAATCTTAAAAAATAAAAAAATGGTACAAACGGACATCAATGAATTTAGGAATAAAGGAGGACACAACAAGCCTCCTCCCATCTGCTCTTTCTGTAAACCCCATGTTCACACGTATTTGGGGACAGAACTCCAAGAGCCCCATGGACCCTCATGGGAACTGGTACAAAAGCAACCTCTTCACTTAGAAGAGCAAAAGGATATTCCTCTCCACACCCCAAAGCCCCAGGACATGGCCATGCACCTCCTCAGGGTCAGCCGATCAGAAAAACTGATCACCTTTCTTTTTGTTATAGCACAAAGACTATATAGGCGTCTATTTTTCCAGCAAGCCAAGAATATTGAGGAGGAATTGTATGGTCTCCTGAAATTTGCAATGCCAGTCTGGCCAAAAGCACACTAACAGGAGAGCCACAGCATAACCAGACACTCTGTATGAAGCAGGGGTACCCAAAATCTGAACCAAAACACTTGACACTTCCAAAGACTCCAGAATTTCGTAGCCACACTAGAAATTTCCTACATTTTCCAAATTACCCCATAGTTACAAATTGACAAGGAATCTCTCTAGAAATGGTGAGGGACAGTAAGTCTAGTTCTAAGGATCAAAAAAACCCAGGGAGGGAAACGTTTTGTAGGTATGGAAAATGGTCTAGCAAAATTAGTACCTGTCTATCAATTGCCTACATAGATTTGGAGAGACACCAGTACTATCATGAAAAACTATGTCCTGAGCATTAATCTCTTGTTGTCAAGCATTAAACACAATACAGACAACCTGAAGTATGAGCAACTCATAAACTGTTTCAGGAGGCAAATATCCCCAATTTTGTTTCCTGTGCTGATTTTGTAAAAAACCCAAAGTTTTAAAATTTTGCCCCTGTGCAATCTTTTGTTAAATAAAAACCAAAAGCCTGTTCTTTCAGTTCTAGGTCACAATGTCTGTTAGCCGCTAATAATTCAATTGATTGATACCAAAACTCATCCCTTCCCCTCCAAGTCTCTTACCAAACTTAATCAAGTTTCCTTTTAATTAAGCAAAAATATATGTAAATAACATCACCAAAAACAATAAAAGAATGAATCAGTAAAGTATATATTTGTACCTCAATAGAACCCAATTGAGAGGTCAAATTCTGTCTTCAGAAAGTTGGGCTAAGGTGCCTGAGCACAGAATAGAAATGAAGCTGGGTTGGTTGGTCATAGTAGAGTATCACTCACAAGAACCAAGACAAGGAAATCTGACCCGGCCTCCCTCAAGGAGCAGCTGACCCTTTTCTTCGGAGTCCAGGTATGTAAAAAACCTCTTGAATCAAATAAACTGATCTGGAACTATCTGGGGGAACTTCTCCCTGGTCAAAAGGGATGTCAGGATCAAAGCAAGAAATGTTCTGATGTGAGAAAAAAACAGAAAGATATTCTCTGTCCATGCTCCACTGCCAGATGAGTTATAATTTACAGTGCATGCCATGCAACAAGGGACAATCCACATTGTATAGCACTACAGAGTACCACAAAGAATAAAGCAGGTACTTCTAGCAAAGCAGTATTAAGGATCAATGGTTAGCCCACCCTCCACCCCCCCAAACATCCTATTGTGGTATTAAATTAGATTTGGCTGAGAATGAAAATTGCCATAACAAATATATTTTTCCCTTTCTTCTTTGTCGAAATTCAACATATATATGAGCATGTTTGTTGAAATTTCAAAGTGCAAAAATACCTTTCAACAATGAAAAGACAGCACCCGAGATTTGATGGAATCCAAAATACATATAACAAAAAGACAAAAATGTAAATAATTGTGAGAAACTAAAGGAATCAATGACTCAAACACTCCTTGACACAGAAAACCTCAAGGACACGTTGTGGCCTTTGTGATTAGTTTAAGGAATGCTGCCCAGGGAAGGGCAGACTGTATCAAAGGATGCATGGCTCCACTTCCTTGCTGCTGTGGTGCCAAATTCCTCAGATAAGCCTCAAAGAAAGGTGGGAAAAGACTGAAGAGAGAGATAAACACCTAGCACCAGACCTGCCTCTCTTTGTCTAGTATGCTGATCAGCTGATAAAATTTACTTAAAAGACAACAGAAAACTTTGCTGTTTGTGCATCCACCACTCAAGACAACCGTACCTGAGACAATGCTGGAACTTGGAGTGGTGAACCAGACTCCCTTTCTGTCCTTTCTTTTCCTTTTATTTCTTTCCTTCTTTTCTTTCTTATACATTTATCAATAAGAGACCACATTGCTTACTATCCTTTTCCAAGTTTAAGTTGTTTCTACCACGAGTAAAAGACTTTAACCAGTCGTTTGGTGTCATTTCACCCTAACTTAATCTGAAGAGATCACAGGACCATTAACGACTCCCTGGGCTCCCAGTCAGCCTGGATTGTAACAATAATGGAGCAAATATAACCCACCTTTTGTGCGTGGAATTCATCTCCAAGCAAGCGAAGAACCAGCAAAAGTCCTCTGCATACTTGGTTAACATCCTCAAAGCAGAATTTCAAAATTCGTAATCTTCAAGCTGGTGAATCTCACATGAGATGCTAATTCCTTAATCGTTAATACCTCAGGAAGTAGAAAGAACAGGGTTTTCTTTTATAGGCTATATAATTCTAAGAAATAATGAAATTTCCCTACAGTGCAGGTATTAAGAGAACAATGAAAGGAAACTTTTAACTGTCCAGACTCAAAATACATTTACTTCTGTAATATTTACATAACTGTACAGTTTAGGAGGAAATAAACCTATCTGCGGTACAGAATATTCACCAAGGCAAGGCTGTTTAAATAATTCTGCATTCCTAATTTCATGTCTGCTTCTGATGGTTACACAGACATTCTAGAAATTTGTCAGCTGCATCTGCTCTTTTGCACACACAGAAAAGAGGAAGCAGAACCCTCATCACCAACTTCTCTTCATATTAAAATCCCTTGCAGAGCTCTACCCTGCTCAGTTAATTTCCTCAGCAAGCTGACTAATTAATATAGCACACTGACAGATGGCAAAAGCTTAGGTCAGAAAAGCTAGGAGCAGGGGCAAACTTGCACGGTTCGAAACCTTTACAGGTCAGTCATCTTTACACTAGAGATGCCTTGGATGGTTATCAGGCATACCCCACATCTCAGCTTCCTTCAAAAAAATATAAAAAAAAATAACCATAGAGAATATTCTCTATGATATGAAAGCTGTAAAGAAGCCATGAAAAATACAGCAATATAGGGCAACCTGGGGATGGAGAATTCCACTAAAGCAGCCATTAAATTAGTGTTTGAATAGGGGCATGAGCCTAGAGAGCAAATCAACAGAGCAGAGAGTGAGTGCACTGCAAAGGCAGATGTGAATAACCAAAACCAACACCTCACTCCCATAAGCTTCCAAACAAATACAACATGCTTCAGTAAGATTAATTAGCGAGGAAGAAAGATGCAGAGATGAATAAATGAATGAACATTTATTTAATCTTAATGAATTTTAAGATTCAATTAATTAAGTATGTAATTAATTCTCCAGGTATGAGCAAACTAGGGGGAGAGGGGCCACCTGGGCCCATTCTGGACAGTCTAGAGCTTCCTCCAGCCCACGAAACAGCACCTTGGAGGGGAATTGAAAGCAAGAAAGGATTCCGCTAAAGAAGCTGAGAAATATGAAAAATTATTTTAGATAGCACTGCCAGTTATATTTCAAGCTTGCATTAGATTCCTTTGAAACTTTTATTTTGCAATTACCTTTTAAATTTTTTAAACAATAATTTAACCTTTTGCTTTGCTGAATGAAAATTTCTGCTTTTCATTTTGAGATTGATAAGTAAAATAGTCTGAACTGAAACCAAACTGAAACCATTCTGCTTTCCTTGGTGCAGCAAATATGAGTGTGGGAAAATAACAGAAGAATGTCGAGGAGGATTGTAAACACGCTCAAGTGGCTTGCAGCTAGGGTGTAGAAAAATACATATATCATTCTAATTGTTTTGTGTCCTTGTGTGTTTGACAAGTGTTCATCTGTGTTCAGATAACAGCCTGTGATAGACTTAGAGGGACCCTACTGAACATGCTTGAGATTCCCACCCTGCTGTGGGAAAGATCAAAGCATAGTGGTAAACTAAGCCTGCGCGAATCCCTGAAAAAACCAGGCGCAAACAGCAGGTTTGGCAATCCTCTACAGAGGACCGAGCTCCGTGGTGCCTGCGTTCCCCCTTCTGTCCCTCTGCCTGGGTGCTGTTTCGGGGATCCCCCCAGTTCGCAAGGTAACGAAAATAAATTCACTCTTTTATTTCATCCGTGGTTTTGTGGTTGTTCCTGCATCCTGTCTGTGTCAGCTCACACACTGATTAATACATTACAGAAAACTCTGAGACATCTGTGACCCAAAACAAACACCAGGGATCATGAATGTTTCTCAATAAGCAGCAAGAGTCTTGTCAGTTGATACTGTCTTGTCTTCAAGTTAAAGGAGAAGTTCCCATTGCTGGGCATTAATCCATGAAAATTAACAGACTAAGGCACTTGTTGACAGAACAATAGTATCACAATTATGCAAACCAGTGACAGTTTTACGTCCAATATAATCCATGAAAAAACTTTGCTGCGTGGACAAAATCAAATATACCATCAGCTTTCATCAGAATTGACTCCGGTGCACACACAGCTGTAAAAAGCAAAAGTATCTACCCATTTAGTTGTAATATGTTTAGTTTACTTACTACCCTTCTTTAGGAGGCTTTAAAATACATTCAAATAAACAGTTTGCCCTAAAGAAAACATTGCAACTAGTTAAAATGAGACTGATACTCCTGAATGCCTCACTTAAATCATTAGGACCACTGCATAATGTTATTTTTGCTAACCCATTCAGCAATGCTTTGTTTGGGGCTGGTTTCAGTTTATTGATTAACTCATTTTTCATGATAGGCAAAAACCAAAAAGCAGTGTATTTCTGTTCATGTATCCTGAAATGTACCAGCTAAATACCACCCTTTCCATAGTCGGCATACATACACTCATGCAGATGCCTTGTTACATTTCTTAAGTTTGTACTGCTGGGGTTTTTTGCAGCTGATTATATCAACGAGCACAGATCTTCACAAACAGCCTTTCCTCAAGGTACATTTCAAACTTCTGCCCGCGTGTTGTGATTACTTACCCAGAGAGGAACCACAGCGGCACTTGGTTGGGTATCAGAAGCTGGTCAGGACCAGCACCATGTCCAAAGGTGTGAAGAATCTCTCCAGTTGGAACTGCAGAAGGGAAGTTACATGTGTAAAGCACCGAGTTAAAACAGCCAGAGCAGATGGACTCATCCAAGCACTCATGAAAAGTTAACACAATTATTAAAGGTTACAAAGCCAGTGGATGGTCATATCAAAGGACCTTATCTTCAACTACAACTCTCATTGTCACAAATTAACCCTGTGCAACAAGTGGGTGAAACAAGGGCTAAATGCCACCACAAGTCAAAGTGAGCAGAGATTGTATCACACTTATGCCCAAGTCTATTTTGCTTGGGCATAGATAGACACAAGAACCAAAGCTGTGGAAATCAAACTTGTAACACAGAGCCACCTTGCAGAATACGGAACTGTCTCATTTGTTGCTTTCTTTTGACCAAACTGTGACTACAAATGAGCATTATAGTCAATCTTGGTAAATGTTTCTGAGAGAAAAACCAGACAGACTGAAGTTCTGAGTAAAAATACGGGTTTCACGTAGGTTTTGAACCTTCCTCTCAGCAGAATGCCTCACCTCCCACAGAGTCTCATTCTTTTCCCCTGAATGCCTTTCCCTGCTCTAACTCTCTGCAGCTGAACCTCAGTGATGATGCTTTGTAACATTTCTAAAGCTAAAAAAGAGCTGAGCTTTCAGTAGGTCAACCCCCATTGCATCAAGACTCCCAGTCTGTCACAATTCAATTTCCTTTATACTACACACTACTTAAATATACATAAAAACATTTACACTTTCACTTCATTCTGGACATTTTCTAGGTTTTAGATGGTGTTTAAACCCCATGTTACCAGTTTTGTATGTTGATATTATTATGTAACTAAAAATAGCATTCCTGACAGTCACCAAGATGACTGGTCAAATGCCAGTGTTGTGGTTTAGGCCTGATTGGCAGCCAACCACAATGCAGCAGCTCTCTCTCCCTTCCCCTCCGGCAATAAGAAGGGACAGAGAGCCAGGCTTGGGGTTCAAGATAGGACTGGGATGGGGAGAAAATTCCCCTTTATGGTCACGAGCAAAAGGCAGACTCGTTAGGGGAAGAAAAAAAGTACATACATTTATTACAGACACTAACAACACATAACAGAGTAGGACAGTGAGAAGCATTGCCACATCTTGAGAATACCTTCCCCCCACCCCTCCCTTCTTCCCGAGCTCAGCTCTGCTCCCGATATATCTACCTCCTCCCCCAGTGGTGCAGGGGCAGGGAATGGGGGGTGCAGTCAGCACTGCCACTTTCCTTATCTTCGGTGAGGGGAGTGTCCAAAACTTGTTCCCCCTGCGTGGTCCCCCTCTCACAGGAGACAGTCCTCCACAAACTTTCTCCGGCTTGAATTCCTCCCACGGGCTGCAGCGTTCCCCACACTGCTCCTTCATGGGTCACTAACTTCCTCCGACTGGATTCTCTCCCACGGCTGCAGCCCTTCCCGAGCTGCTCTGGCGTGGGACTCCCCCGCATGCTGCAATCCTCCCAGCACTGAATTACAGCAGCGGGGCTACCTTTTCCCATGAGACCCCGGCCTTCTTTGGGCACAGAACCTTGATCATTCGAGCAGGAGCAACAGGCCACAAATCAATGTCTGCTCCACCATAGATCTTCATGGGTGGCAGGGGGGGGCCGCCCTGCCGTCTCACCACAGGACACAGGGGGGTCTCTGCTCCGGCACACCTCCCCCCTCCTTTCTTCCTCCATTCCTCCACTGACCTTGGTGTTCACGCAGCTGCAGCAACTCCTCCTCACAAGTCCGACTGCCCATCACCACGTCCCTTCTTAAATACGTTATCGCAGAGGCGCAGCCGATTGGCTCAATTTCCCAAACAGAAGTGGAGCTGACTTGGAGCTGGGGGAGCTTCGAGAAGCTTCTCACAGGGGGCCGTCCCGATAGCCCCCTCCCCTGCCACCAAAAAACTCCACCACTCACTCAACCCAGGACAGCCAGGAACCTGCTCTGATATGGTATCTAATATTGTAACACATTTACACACTCCCTTCTCCTGATAACTGGAGTGTATTACCAGTTACAGATTTCAGTGCAGAACCAGTTGCAGACTTGCTCAGAAGAGGGAGCTCAGAAGAGGGTAGCTACTTTCCAAAAGGTGCAGATAAAGTGGTTGATATGGGCGGTGAGACTACACCATGTATGGGAAAAATTTCTTTGTGGACTAAAACTGGTTTTATAGAAAGTGTTCAGAGTATGGCAGAGGCTAAAATAATTGATTGAAATATTCTGTGTCACTCGAGAAACTCATTGTCTCCTGTGGAAACTAGATGTAGTAATTCATTGCATGGGTAGCTGTTTTGCCCATTATCTGGCACATATCATGGACAAAAATCTAATAGTATGTGGGCTTCTGGTTCCAAAGTACAAGCTTTAATTGCTCCCTATGCTCATTACAAGCCTCCCTTTCCAACATTCTTCACTCAAGAATGGACATATACCAGATTTTGGACATATACCAGAAACCTGTAATTACACATTTCTGCTTATGATCACATCTGCTACATTGCCAGAGGTCACATAGTTCCCAAGTTCTTTCCAAAGTGGCAAGCAAACCTCTGCTAAAACCTTCCACTTCTGAAAGAAATAATTAATTTCTGGCAACAGTTATGCACTCCCAGCTGAGTTAAATCAGGAAGGATTCCTGATGCATTCTCAGACTTTCAGAGAGTTTCTCTGTCCTCCAGCTAACAGAGTTCTTAAAGCTTCACACACAACAGGGGGTGTTAACTGTATTACAGCAGTTTCAAGGGCTACTGACCTAAAAGTCTGAGGCTTTCGAAGAAAATTTTCAAGTGAGCCACCAGGTAACAATCCAGCTCTCCTGGTTGTGTGAAAGGCATAAGGCTGTTCATCTTCAGTTTTCTAAGGGTTAAATGGGTCATACACTGAAGCATTAGTTGGAAGGGAAGGAGGAAGCACAGAAAACATTTGTTTCCGAAGTCCTGAATGAAATGTCTGTAATTTGGTAATAGGTATGTTACATTAATTTTGAGGATAAGTGGGACGAGAGCTAAAGGTGTTAAATTTGACCTTTCTCCTACAAATCATAAACAGTTGCCCACAGTTCAAGACTTCAAATCAAGAGACCTCATGCAAAAAAATATAACTAAAAATCTTTTGTTAATAATAACGGGGGATAAGAAGGAGACAAAATGCAGACATTCTATACTAAATGAGGATTTAATCTTAACATCCCTTCTTCTCTCATCTTCAAGTTGAAACACTTTTTGAAGGGAAAAATTCTTGCTTGCTGGTCATCTAAGTCTGGTATTGTAGATGGTAAACACCTCCCCTTCTGGGGACAAAGAGGAAGTTCGCTGTGATCATCTTCATCAGTTGCAAAAGTTTGTTGGAACCCAGCCATGTCTTCTTGAAGTCAAAACAGCACAAGTACAGGTAAAGGGGCCTGCTGTATTTCTATGAAAGAAAGCAAATATTGTAAATGTAGCTTGTTTTTCTGACTCTGTTAATAGAAGGTCTGACCTGCTGTCTGAAGACTTCACAAGTATTTTCAGCCTCAGACTAGTTATTGTCTTCCTGATAAGAACTCACAGCTGTGCTGCAAAATATACTGTTTTGGCTGAAAAGGACAGATTCTTTTAATAGTAAGCATAAAGTAAGATATATGGGTGAGAAGAAAAAAAGCAGTAGGCTAAAAAAAAACCAAAACATAATATAGAAAAACCAAGAGTTTCTCAAGATAAAGACAATAATGATGACAAAGGCCGTTCTGTTCCTGCAGATGGTCAGGGTGCCTCTCAGGAACACACTGGTACCAGGACTCTATCTGAGGATGGGAACTAGAGCTCTGATTGTCAATTCGCTGCCATTGCCTTACAGCAATGCCAAACTAAGGGTCCCAAAAGATGAAGTAGCTCATCTTTCCTCTTTATTTTTCTTTCCTTTTTTTTTTTTTTTTTTTTTAAGAAAACACACACACACACACACACACACCCGGCTCAGTTCTCTTTTGTGGGGTGGCCATTTTTGCCCACCTGTGATGAATCCAGGTCCTATCCTTTTAGCTTCACTGAATCTGAGAAAAAAATACCCAGGAACCATGTCAAGCTCTGGACTTCTAGACATCTTCTCAGGATGCATAATTATCTTTCTTGCAAACTCATTTTGCAAAAGAGTTGCTGTGACCAAACAGCCTAAACTTTGTGATGAATGCAGCTCTGCAAACCCTCCAGCAACTCAAGCACTCTTCCACATGACTATACCAACTGCTCCAGATTTTATTCTGCGGACAAAAAATCACTACAGTATTTCAAGCTGCATTTCAAAATCCACATCCAAACTCATCTGTGATTTGCCATCTCTGTAACAATCTCAAGAGACTTCCAGCAAAGTGAGTTGGGTTTTGCCTACAGTTACAAGGCAGCATAGACAAATATGTAGACACAAAGTTCTGTAACAAAATGTTAAATACATTCACAACCAATGAAAACCATAAAGTATTTATTGCTTCACCAACAAAAAACTGAAGAAACTCCGTTAGAAAGATCCTGAATCTATTTCCCCACACTCCTCTCCATTAGTCATTGGCAGGTTAATTCTAATAGCTGCCCTCAGGTTAGCCCAGAAAAGGGCACGCTTGCTCCTCTCCTTCGGCCACTCCAGGTAGGTTCGCTTTGCCATGAGAGCCTTCAGCTTGTGATACCTGGCAGGGATAACATACGGGGGGATCGGCTCCAGTAAAATGAGGATTAAGCTGTTGGAACTCTCACTGAACAACTTGTGATGGGCAAAGTACAGCTCATAGTGACACCACTCGCTCTGCACAAAGTTGGGAGACAACACAAAGATCGACTTGTAGCTCTTCTCAATGCAGTTAATGATGTTCTCCACAATGCTCTTGCCAGGGATGAAGTTTCTCTCGTGCTGGCACAGTTGTACACAGCCCTCCCCCTTCTCCAGGTTCGGGATCAGCTCGTTCTTCACCCACAACGAGTCGCGCTCGCTGTAGGAAATGAACGCGTGAAACTGCAGAACGCTCTCCTGCTCTTCGGGGCGGCTCTGCCGAGCCCTCCGCTTCGTCTGCGTCCACTGCCACGTCATCCGCACGTACCACGGCGCGTCCAGGAAGATGCACAGAAAGGCCACGACGGCCACGAGCGCCAGCGTCAGCAGCAGAGCTGTCACAAGCAAGAGCGTCGCGTTGCAGGCCAGTTCGCTCAGGTGGAAGTCCTTCAGCTGCGTTCCCTTCAAGTCTTCCGGGTACTCGCACACGTACGCCGCCGGCCAGCCAGCCAGCTTCCCCCCAGACCGCCTCTCCAGGCGGACAAAGTCTTGCAGTTCGCAGGAGCACCTGAACGGGTTGTGCCCGGCTTGTAGCTCCCTGACCCTCGTGCAGCTCTGGAAGAAGTCGGCAGACGGGGTGAGGATCAAATTCATCTCTACGTTCAGGACCTCCAGCGACGTAAAGCCACCGCACCCCGGCAGGTCAGCCAGACTGTTCTGTGCCAGGTTCAGCTCCTCCAAGGATTTCAGCTCTGCCAGCCCCTTGGGCACCCTGGTGATCTGATTGCTTTGTAGGTGGAGTTTTTTGATGTTGACTGGCAAGCACTCAAACACGGCATCCATCAACTGATTCGAGGACAGGTCCAGCTCCGTCAGAGACTCAGCCCACCGACATTGCACGTCAGCTGCATCGTGACGCAGCAAGTTGCCGCTCACGTCCAAATATTTCAGCGATTTCATATGGCTGGTCATGAAGCTTACTTTGGGAAGGCTCTCAAATTTATTCCTCTGCAGAATAAGTAATTTCAGATCTGTCAGAGTATGACAATTCTGGAACAATTCATCCGTCAGGGCATTGTGAGAAAAATTTAATGACTGAAAGGAACTTGTTCTATTGGGGCAAAGCATGTGTGGCATATATGCATCATATATTGTTAAACTGGCAATATTCATCTCTGAAAACTGTCTGTATAGAATCTCCTGATTGAAATAATAAGCCCTATTACGAATGTGCTCCAAAGTTAGTGTTTTCATGGAGCCACCCGAAGAGATTAGTTGTTCCAGAGAGCCTAAGAACAGTAGAAGTTCATGTTCAGGCAGCTCGCTCACTGGTCCCCGGAAAGTCAAATTTCTCACAGTCAGATGTTCCACGGGTGAATACCAAATAAGCAGGAAAATTTGCAAAATGATACCCCATTGTAAATCCACAGTGTCAAGCACTAGAGCTGTTGTCTTGATTTTCTTCAGAAGTGTTAAAGGAGGAGCAGGGAAATCTTTGTAGCTCAAGGTATATCTTAAGTTAACTATTCTTAAGTTTTCTGCAGTGCTCATGCCATCGTACAGTAGGGAAAAAATGAAGTTTTGGTTTGCTGCAAAGACAATGTCGAGGTTCCTTGTATTCAAGGCTGTCAGACTCTGCGACTCATACAGAGAAAAGTCTTCTAAGGTTAGGATGACAGTGTGCAGCTGCAAATGTATGATATACATGAAGTCTGACCTTCGTATCATCGCAGCACTTAACCCGAGGTACTCCAAACGAAACATGTTTCCGAATTCCTGGCAGATGGGCAAGGCAGTAAACTTATTAAAAGAAAGATCTAAATGTCTAAGATATGGAAGAGTTTGACAGTAAACTTTCAAAATGTTATTATGAGATAAATCTAAGTATCCTAAATCTTCATTAAAAGTGAAGATACTAAAGTCAAGCTCTGTAATTAGATTATGAGAAAGATTTAATACTTGAAGGTCAGGAAGAGAAATAAATTCTGAAATATTAAGTCCAGAGATCCTATTATGTGATAAATCTAATACGTGAGTATGGACTGAAATGTTTTTTGGAACATTAGTTAGCAAATTGCTTGAATAATTTGCAATAAATTCATTTTCCACGGTTGGCTGGATATTATTCCATAGCGTGCACGTAAAGACACAAGCAGAGACATAGATATTTGTAAGAGGTCTCATTGTGCTTTCCAGGTTTATCTTGGTTTTTTACAGAAGCACGGAAGCATATCTTTTTTTTTCTGTTCAATGTGTCTCAGTGATGAGTCCAGCCCTATGAAAAGAAAACACATGGCATTTGCTGAAATTGTTGAACCGTTGAATTGAGGTTTTATTGTTAAAATAAAATTAAATACAAAACTTATGTAATAAAAATCTTATTTTTACATACTCTTGTTCCAAGTTCCTATTAATCCTCTTCATCGCCATTCTTTAATTCCAGTTACTGATTTTTTTCAGTTAAGTAGAAATTAAGTCATTTATGATGGGAGGTATACAGTTGATGATATGTTAAAAAAAACACAGAGATGTTAAGAAATACAAATTTCTCAACAATCTTAAAAAATAAAAAAATGGTACAAACGGACATCAATGAATTTAGGAGTAAAGGAGGACACAACAAGCCTCCTCCCATCTGCTCTTTCTGTAAACCTCATGTTCACACGCATTTGGGGACAGAACTCCAAGAGCCCCATGGACCCTCATGGGAACTGGTACAAAAGCAACCTCTTCACTTAGAAGAGCAAAAGGATATTCCTCTCCACACCCCAAAGCCCCAGGACATGGCCATGCACCTCCTCAGGGTCAGCCGATCAGAAAAACTGATCACCTTTCTTTTTGTTATAGCACAAAGACTATATAGGCGTCTATTTTTCCAGCAAGCCAAGAATATTGAGGAGGAATTGTATGGTCTCCTGAAATTTGCAATGTCAGTCTGGCCAAAAGCACACTAACAGGAGAGCCACAGCATAACCAGACACTCTGTATGAAGCAGGGGTACCCAAAAAAGTTTCTGAGAGATCTCATATTTTCTGTCATACTGTTTCTGATTCCCTGGAGATGGTCAATACTTTTCTTATCTGTCCTTCTTTGTTCTAATCCTGTAGTAAAATAACCAAAAACAAAATAGATTGTATCATGCAGAAGCCATCATAGAGATTGATTTCTTTTACAGTTCCATTTTCTCATCAGTCATCTCTTGAGTTTTTTTGACTCAAAAGGCTATGAAGGCATCTACTGTCTTTAAGGAGAGGAATTCTTTATTAAGAGAACACTTAAATTTCTTTTTGGTAAACACGCTGTATTTAATATATAATGAGTCTGTTTCTTACAAAACATGTCTGATTTCATAGGTGACTAAAATTTGCTGCTTACTTACAGAATTAGTGTGGTGATTCAATGTATTATGAAGGCTTCCCAGAACTGCATAATACACTTTGTTCAAAAAGTACAGTATTTGAAATCAGTATGGTCATCCTCTCCTCAGATTCTCTCTTGAAGGATATGAACTAGACTCAGACACATTTTTTTAAATGGACCTGTGACTATAAAACCTGGACTGAAACATAGGATGGAGTTTCAAGAGAGTGAAACAAAATCTGAATGTCTTTAAGTAGATGATATTGGTCATTGTGCTTATTTTAACTGGGGAGACTGGGGTGGAGAGTACAACGTTCTATATTTATGCTATGGGAAAGTCCACAGAAGTGTTTGTTTCTCATCTGGTCTTGAGCATCTCCTGATTTTAGACAATGAAAGTGGGGTATCCCCATGTCTGATTTCTTAGGTGTACACGGAGGACACCAAACACACACTGAAAATATTTGAATGCTACAGAAAAAAATACCATTTGTAGAATCTCTGTACACAAAATCTAGGCCTGATCTAAGGACACTGGCTTCAAATGCCTTCAAATGGCTTGTTTAAGCACAATTTAGAGAAAAATCATAACCATGTCTTTGCTTTGATTTTCCTTAATGAAGGACACTTTTTCTTTTCTGTATGTAGTTTAGGGTAGCCAGCCTCCCTTTGTTTAAGTCAGCCATTGTAATTACTACCATAAATCTCCTTCTCAATATTGCCATAAATCCATCAGACCACCCTTCTGAAAGAGGAACTGGTAAGAACTTCACTAACAGTTTTATATGTGTTAATCTTGATTTAAAGTTGTTTTCCAAATCTCCGAAATATTTTTGTTTTGTCGAAACATTCTTCCCCTCTTCCTCCCACTACTTTTAAACAGTAGTTGTTGTCTGAAGCTTTCTATGGTGATTATTCATGCCTGCACTGGTTGTCAACCTTCCCTTGATATTGAAATGGCTAAATTGTGAGTTGATATTTCTAGTGAGTCTACAATGAGACAGTAATAGCTGTCACTTTTTGGACTAAAGCTACACCCTCAAGGACTACATCCTCTGTACCATTAACCATTCCACAAGCCTTGTTAGAATTACATTACTGGGTCGAAAACTTACAGTTTCCTTGATCTAACACACCCCATATTACAAAATCTCAGCAATACAAAAAACCCCCCAGTCCACTGAGTTCTTCTTTTGTAAAGAATACATGAAACTAGGCTTGGAAATCATCTAGAAATAATGGAACAATATGGCAAAATTTTTCCAGCCTTTTCCAGATTTTCATCTGGAAAAATTATATGCAGTTTTACTGTCATAGCCCTCAAAAGGTACTTGGGCATGTGCTGAGAATGAAAGATAATCAGCATTCTCTATCCTGCTCTTTGATTGTTTGGGCAACACTATTAATGTGTATATAAACAAACAAAATATGTAACCTCAACAGAAATCTGGAAAAAAAAAATCTACCTTCAAATCATTATTTCTTCTTAGGACAAAATTTCAGCAAGATCTAGGGACTAAGTGAAACAAGGATATGATTCTTCTACATGTGCTTAACATTCTTTCTCATATATCCTGGCATTCAGTCAAATTATTTACAATTACCTTCAAACTTTCTTTAGAATAACCTATAGAGCAACAAAATTAACAACAGTTACAACACACGAACCCACGATTTGGGGCTATCACTGGAGAAATTCTCCTTTATAGTCATATCCCTTTTAATGCAGAAGTATCCTCAAGTCTTCAAGCTTGACAAAAACATCACTATTAAGATATAAGCAAATAAAAACTGTCTGGGTAAGCAAACTAAGATGATAGTGAGAAACTGTCCTTTTGTTTACAGTGAGAGAAGAGATCAAAATTGAGGTTTTAAGAGTTTTTCCAATATAAACTCGGTATAAACTGACTAAACTTTCAGATTTGAAATGTACAGAATGCACTGAGCTGCAACGGTTCGGTATTAAAACCTGTGCTTCACAAGTTATTGGCATAATACAAGAGTCAAATTTAAAAATGTCTTTCACATGGTTGAAACACATCATCAAGTTAGACACATTCCTGAACTGTAGAGAAACTATTTCCATTAAATCACTGTGACTCCCTTAACTATGAGCGCAGTGCTAATACTGAGAGACTGATATTTGGTCGGCTTTTTTGGATAGACTGACTGAACGTAAGCAACTTTCCTCTCATCTCCTACCCATACACTTGAAAATACATCATACACTTGCTAATATCTCTCTATGGAAAACATGGATCATTTTCAAATAAGATGCAGAAAACAAAAGAGTTTTAGCTAACTAGCAACCACATAAAATCAATAAAATGAAAGTTTTCTCACCAGAAATCCCTGCCCTTCGAAAAAGCAGAAAATGTACTCAGGAAAAGACAAAAAAAAAAAGTAAACTTCCTGTAACTCTATCCTACTATGTAACAATACTTAGGAACGCCCAAACTTTTTATATAAATGTTTGTGCCATCTACTGACAGTTTATGAAATCACATTTGCTTTCTACCAGACGTATTTTCCCCATTATTTATCATTGAACTATGTGTTTTCCTGCTTTGCAATAGATGAAGCAGGGGAAAAAAAAAATAATCTTTTTACCAATCTTCTGCTTCACCAAATTAATATGAAAATAACTACTACTTTTGAGCTAGTTTTACACTGAAATTCAAACATCGTCCTCTCTGACCTTAATAATGATCTAAGTCTGTATTCTGATATTTTTTTTCCATTTAGCTATACCAATTTAGTTGTCAAGTTCTTATCAAGGCTGGTTTATAAAAGTACTGGTTTTCTTATATTAATTTCTATTTAATGGGAATAGAAAAATAATCTCTCTTCCCCTCCAGCAGTGTTGTGATTGGGTTAAATAGTGAACATGGAAACAGTGGGTGGGGTCTTTTTTTTCTTTTAATTAAAACTGAGCAGCAACTTGGGTATCAAATGCCCAAGAACTTGGGTTATTGTCCTGGCAAAGACATAAACCAGTCTCTCTTTATTTCTTTATAATGTTGGTCAGAAATTCCATCTTAGCTGAGATCTAAATTGCCACACTACAACCTACCTTCCTGGGTTAGCATACTGTAACACATTCATGATTTAACATTTCAGTGACTGAGGAAGCAGAGGAATTTATCTTAAAAATTACTTTTTCACTTCAAGTCTTATTCTGTACATCATATTTCATTCCTCTGCTCAAGTGAACAGAGGTCATCCAAAAAAGGAAGGGAAAGGTAGGACAGGTAGTGAGTGACAGAATATGGATAATTCATATTCTCTGCTGTTATGTCAATAAGCCTTATGGTGGTACCCTGATGCCATGCTTCTTCCTCCAGCTGGTTTCCAAATGACACCTTGAAATGTTGTTATATACAAACCTCACCACTGTCTGCCCTTTGCTGGAAAGATTTAGCTAACCATCCGTAGGATGAGATAAAATCTGTTTGGAATACAAGTTTCACTGCCGGAATATAACCCACCTATTGTGGAGACATTTTACACCAATGAAGGTCATGATGCCCTTGAAGGTTTTTGAATAACAGAAAAATAAGGTCACGACAGACCTTGAATAACAGAAAAAATAAGGTCACAACAGACCTTGAAGGTTTTAGAATAATAGAAAAATAAGAAAGTTATCAGTGAACAACAGAGGACTTTGGAAGAACGCCCGGAGCAAAAAAAAGTGAAAAAGCAAGTTATAATGACAAGGGAAAAAACATGTGTAGTTAAGCTAGCCAGTCAAATGTTAGAATAGGTGTGTGAGCAATGTATGTTAACCAATAAGCACTTATGTTGGGGGAGTGGACAACTTTGTAGGGGGATAAAAGTGCAGCTTTCTGAATAATAAAGGGTCTTCGATCTTAACATCGGAGTCCGTGTCGTCAGTCTCCCCAGATGGTGACCCCGATGTCCAGGACAAAGGGACCGGACAAAGCGTGCCAGCCTTGCAACAGCAGGCACTCGGACTCATCATCGCGATGAAGGCCACAAGGAGACGCAATCGGATAAAGAATCTGAATGTGAGCCTGTGGCTTCTCGACAAAGTAGCAAGTCACTAAGGTTGAAAAAGAAGGATATCAGGCGCTCCTTGTGAAAAATGAATGATGACAGCAGCAGTGAAGCAGAATACGTTCAAGGGGCTAGAAAGACGAAAGGCCGGAGGAGAGAGTCTATTAGGGAAAGGTGGAGAAAAATAAAAATAGATGGGTTAAAGGATGGCGCGAAGATAGATTTGGCATTCCTGGTTATTTTCAGGCCAGACCAGCCGCCTCAATTACAAGCTTTTGACTGGCAATTAGTGGAAGAAATAAGGAAGGCTGTTGTGCAGAATGGATTACAGTCTCCATTCTCACAAATGTTATTGGAAAATGTGTTGTGCGGGCAATCAGTCACTCCGTATGATTGTCAGCAATTGGCATCATTAATCTTAATGCCAACACAAAAGCTACTGTGGAGAGGCAAATTTATGGAACTTTGTGAAGTAAAAGCAGTGGAGAATTTGGGATGCCAGCAGGGGGATTCCTTGCTAGGAATTGACATGGATCATTATGCCGGTATGGGTCAGTCTACAGACCCTCAATAGCAACATATTTAGCCATCAACTAGTCCTTGGAACACACCTGTTTTTGTAATACGGAAAAAGTCAGGAAAATGGA